CTCTGCTTTGTAGCGACACGTAAAGATGTTAAAATTAACTACAAATATGCGTGTCCAGCTGCAAAACGATCGATCAGCTGAGATATTCTCACATCAATTGCTGGAAATTGGGAACGAAAAGGTGCCGGTTGATCTGACCTCAGGATGAATTTCGTTGCCTCATAACTTCAGCAATTTAGTGATGTCAAAAGAAGAATTGGTTGAAAAAGTGTTTCCGAATATTCAAACCAATTATAAGAATCATGATTGGCTGAGTGAATGAGCTATTCTTGCGGCCAAGAACAAAGACGTCTACGAACTTAACAATATCATTCAGTCTAACATTCACTGCGAGGCAGTCACATACAAGTCTGTCGACACTGTTGTGGAAGCAGATGAAGCGGTTAATTATCCAACAAATTTTTTTAATTCACTCGATCTGCCACAGCAACGCGTGGCCAGGTACAGCTAGTTAGATTATGTAAAATGAAAGTTATAGTATAAAACAAAATTAAAATTCTTCAAGTGATGCTTTACATCATCGAGTCATTCGTTGGAATTTGTGATTTTGTTGTATTCCCACGGACAAATTGGAGTATTCTGTATTTTATGTATATATAATAAACTGTTTTGGAGGCTCGTGATGTAGATATAGTAATATTAATGTTATTTATTTAATCGGTGCCTCATCTTACACTGAATTAATGTATAAGGGGTGGGCCTTCTCGGCCATTGCACTGCGACCTACAGTGATCTGTTGTGCTTCCCCTTTTGATTATCCCCTCAGCGATCCTGCGCTTCGAATGAAGTGCAGGATTTTGTGCATGGGGGTGTCGAAATAGTCACTTGGTTCCATAAAGTATTGACCCAAGTGACATAATCTTAAATAAGCTAAGGCCTCACGTTCGCACAGGATATGTGTGGCTGTTTCATTTTCTACTTGACACCTCTCATAAATGGGACTATCACTTAGTCCCAGTTTGAAGAGGTCTCCTTTAAGGTGACAATGTCCTGTAAGTAGTCCTACCACCCATTTCAGCTGGTTCCTGTTTAACTTCAACAGTTCCTTCGCTCTTTTAGCAGAGGGTCCTCATATGAGTCCCTTTGCTTGCCTGACTCCAGCCAAGGATCCCCAGTATTTCTTGTTCTTCATATTTGTCCAGTCCCTGATTGCCTTTCTGGCAACTCCTATAGAGATGCCACAGGCTGGTTCAGGTCCTATGAACGGACATTCATCTTCAATCTTAGCCAATTGATCTGCTGTTTCGTTTCCAGCAATACCCTAAATGTGAGTACCATTGGTTTTTTAAATTTGTAATGAAATATGTTGGCTTTGTTGCATGATTTGTATTTAAGTATAGCTTTTTATTGCAAGTGAATCATTCAGTGATTACATAAAATGAACTTAAATATTGATTTATTGGTCTTGAAATAATGCAAAATCAATTTTAATATTTGGTATAAATTTTTATGTGCATATTTTAGTTCATATTTTGGAAGTTTTTCATGCATAAATGCATACATATTTAGGGAATTATTAGGGCATAAAAATCCAGTCCCAAATCATGAGCCTCCAAAACAGTTTATTATATATATACAAAATATAGAATACTCCAATTTGTCCGTGGGAATACAACAAAATCACAGAAACCAACAACTGACTCGATGATGTAAGCATCACTTGAAGAATTTTAATCTTGTTTTATACTATAACTTCCGTTTTATATAATCAAATTTATTGTACTCTTATGCCAAGTATTTTAATATAATTAATATTATTGTATCCAATTTTACTGGTACTGCAGTTCAGTGGTGTATATATGTTGGCCATGTGTTTGGTAGCCAAAACATGTAGCAAAGCCAAACTTGGCACTGACCTGAATATAGTTGTGTTGTGACAGTTCAATAAAGAAATTGTATGTTATAACCCAACAGGATGCATGAAATGAAAATTGTTTTATTTATATTGTCATGGATTTGATCAGTGCATTGCCAGGCAACAGCTCTGTAAACATGGTCCAACACGCAACAATAGAGGAAGCTGTGTTTACTGTAGGCCTATGTCCGTTCTGCAGCTACATAAGTAAGAGTGACAGAATTCGTTCAAGGCAGTTACGAGTTATGTGTTACAAGTTACGAGCAGTAGTAGTGCAGAAGCACGTGAACAAGCAAGCTAGCATTAAACTTGAGGAGTACAGAAGAGTACAAGAAGTCAGCCTGTGAAGATGTAACATCTGATTTGAGGATTTTATGTGCACTATAGTGCAGTGGTATTGGGAGTGTATGATTTAGAGAGACTTTTATAGTTCCTGTGTTATAAATCCGTGAAGACTTGTGGAAATAGACTGAAGAGAATAGCGTGAAGTGCTCTGTAGTATAAATGTCACTAATAGTTATAATTATTTGTGGGTACGACCTGTAAGTTGTTAATAAATCCAATTACCAATCCAAACCCGTGGGTTAGTCACTGTGACATGACAATATGAACCTCTAGAACAGGGAACCATTTTCCTGAACCTATATGTAACTGTGTATGTAGAACCCTGAACTATAAGTTTCATCCCTGGCTAAAGCATCAAGTATCATCATTGAACGAGTCATAGATGACTGTAGCCATATTTGGGTGCTACAGCATCCCACAGCTAGCACAACAGTGACTAAGAGTTGCATTCAGCTACACCGTATCTACCTATATGGCATAGTATAGTAGGGGCACAGAATGTTTCCTTTACCAGTTTGTGAAACCTATTTTGTTTGCATTTATCTTATTGGACAGGTGTACAATGAAAATGTACAAGACTTGATCCAGCCATCTGGTCCCCTTCATCTACGAGAAGACAACAGTTATGGCGTTCGAATTCCTGGCCTTTCTGTTCATAGCATCAGAAACGCTGATGATCTCTTTGCCTTAATGGCACAAGGAAACAGGAACAGGACCCAGCACCCAACAGATGCCAATGCTGAATCATCACGCTCACATTCAGTCTTCCAATTGTATGTTCGAATGACCAACAAACTGGATAGAACTATGAAGATCATGAAATTGTCAATGATTGATCTTGCTGGCTCTGAAAGAGCATCTGCTACTCGTTGCAAAGGCATGCGCTTCACTGAAGGTGCCAATATCAACAAGTCACTGCTTGCTCTGGGTATGTTGACATTATATTAAATATCCTTCAAGCCTCACTATGGCCCTGGGGAGTAAAGCGTGGCCGGCGCATAAGGCTGACAACCTTACCGCCATCTTTGAGCCAATTGTCTAAATAATGTGGGATCCTCAGCGTCTCACAACCCTATGGGCCTTCACGGCCTGGTACAGGGATAGTTTTTTTTTATTATTATTATTATTATTACAGTAATGGACACAATTTTACTTACTTCTCTTTTATATAAAGTAATTTGTTACATGGCAAGTGAAAAGTCACTCAATGCATATGTTTTTAATTTTTAATATAATTTAATTTAATTTACCTGGCTCCTTTTTCTATAAAAATTGTGCCAGTATTCAGATGTGAAACAGTAGTGGAAGGAGTAGTAGTCTTTTTTTTTTCCTTGCAAAGAAAATAAGCCTCTAAAATTATAAAGAAACCAATGTTGACTTTCATTTGTGAGAATCAACTTCATGTTTACATCTTGACTGTACATATTCAGCATGCAGTGTCATATCTATATGTCCATTAAATAGTTCACATGATAATGTTGGTTGTGTGGTTTATTTATTGTTCCCCACATGAAGAATTTATTTTGTAAAATTACATACCAACCACAAACATGTCCAAATATCATTATATTTTCCTTAACATGTTTTAATAAATTTCTTCTTAGGAAATTGTATTAACAGCTTGGCTGATGGCCTGAAGCACATCCCATATCGTGATTCTAAGCTCACGAGATTACTGAAAGATTCTTTGGGAGGCAACTGTAAGACGGTCATGATTGCAAATATATCTCCATCAAGCACTTCTTATGAAGATACATATAACACCCTCAAGTATGCCACACGAGCAAAGACAATCAAGCAAACGGTAAGTGTATGAACCACAATTTTGTGTATTCATAGGTGTTGTACTTACATAACAATCTATTCCATTTTGGAGCATAGCGCTTCCACGAAGCATCACCAACGGACTCTGTTCCCAGCCAGGCTCTTGACCTCTCTCCAGATCTTTCCTGCTTGTTGGGCCTGTTCTTCAACAGTTCTCCATGAGGTTCTTGGTCTGCCTCTCCTTCACTGCCCCTGGGGATTCCAGTCCAGGGCTTGCCTCTCTATTGCCCTCTCATCTTTACGTAGAGTGTCCTATCCATTTACATTTCCTTCTTTTTATTGCTGTGGCAACTGGTTCTTCCTTCGCTTGTTTCCATAAGTTTTCATTTGTAACAAAAGATGCGAAGGAGTCTTCTTAAACATTTATTGATAAATAACTGCAGGGTGTTTGTAATTTTCTGTTACTTTACATGTTTCACACCCGTACAGTAATACTTACATAGCAAATGAGGAGGAATTGCTAAAGTCTGGTGATAGTTTTACATGGGGATATAATTCATCTTAATGCAGGTGTTTAATCAATCTCATAACACATGCACTCTATCAAGATTACAAAGTCCATGTAAAAATAAATATTGAGTTGAAGGGGTCTATCTTCTTGGCGGTGATACCATAGGATCTTACTGATGTTTTGGGCAAACATACAGCTTCCATCTTCAGGATCAAAGGTAAGCACAACAAACTCATCACCCTGAAGGCGGAGGCTGTATATTTGTATGAAAGTCTTTGTACTTGTATCACTCTGCATGATGCCACATTACAAAGGATAATACTCTTCATAAAGTCACTCATGTGAGAACCTGAAATATCTAATATTCACTTCTTTGAATATTTTGTTTTTACTTGGCTTTTTTTTTCTGAAATGCTGCATATATTTCTGCATTTATCTCCACTGAACATTCTATAGCACTATTACATAGATCGTGAAAGTGTACTTGATCATAAAATATTTAATTTTTTTCCAGATAAAGAAGAACATTGTTTCTGTTCAGCTGAATATTTCACATTATGCAAAAGTGGTGGAATCGTTGACCGCAGAGAATGAAAAGTTGAAACTTAAACTGAAAATGTACGAAGCGGGGAATGGTTCTCAGGAAGGTGCATCGACATCTGTTGCGGCCCCTGTTGTTCTACCCGACTATAAAGACAGACTCTCTGCTCCATACCAAGAACTGGAAGCTACAAACAGAGAAATTTCAAAATTATTGAAGGAAATAAAACTTCTCAACTGGAGGAATTCTGTTAAACAAAAAATAGCTGACAGGTTGCCTTGTCTGTCCATTAATTCGATTCTTCTGGGCAAGGTAAAGACAATATAATTGGAGGGAAAGGGTTGGAGTATATAGCACAAAAATAAATTCTGCATCTAATATACTGCACACCTCTTGATGTGACATCATTAATTTTTGCATTTTTTTCATTTCAGCGTCTTCATCGGATTAGAACTTCAGTGAAGCAGTTGGAAGGCAGAGAAATGAGCTGCAAGCAGAAACTAAGGGAAACTATTATTAAGAGGAATGAGCATTTTAAGAAAATGAACTGTGTCATTAGGGAACTGAATCAAGATGGGAGCAACGCTGAATTAACGCAGCATGTTGCTATGTTACAGTTACAGGTAGGTTTGAGTATGGTTTACTTTGGTTACAAGTTGTATTTTAGTATTAAATACAGATTAGAAATGGTAGTAGGTCTAAACCTAGAAGAAGATGAGAGTATAATACTAAAATGTATCTTGGGGAAATCAAGTTATGAGAATATAAATTTGATTGAATTACTTTTGCATTATGTTAGAAGCTATAGTATACTATACTGCAGTTATGTCATACATTCCAGGAATTGGCTGTACTGCCATCTGCATGCCAGTTTTTTATAATCTCCTTCATGGTTGTCCAAAGGACTGTGGTAATGGTTGATTCATTACATTGTTATGTGTTAGTGTCTAGACATACGGTTTGGATTGATAACTGGATTTACTGAAGCCTTATCTCATAACTAGAACTAACTGTGATACTCTCACTGGTGTATACACTCTTTTTAACTACAGCACACATAAAGTCTTCTGTGATTTCACCGGTTATTGCTAAGTAGCGGCTTCCAGCAATGGACATTTGTGTGCTTTAGTGTTCACATCCTTGCTGGCTGCTGTCTCACCACTTCCAAACTTGTCCCGTTGGCCTTTGTTATATAGTCTCGGCACAGACCGCACAGGAAACACCACTTCCAACAGTTCATCCATTGTTACATGCGTGTCTATTTCCATGGGAGCGTGTTTACCAAGCAGTTCCCTTGCTCCACTGTTTTGGCTTTCAGCCCTCATGTCACAGTATGACTGTAATGTTAGACACTGCCCAGTGTATGGGTATATTTGACATACACAACATTTCAGAAACTGAATTTATTTCTGTCATGATGCGTAAACTGAGAAATGATCCGGTTCACTTGGGTATGTTAAAAAGCGCTAATCTCGGCCAGTAATTGTGGCTATCTCTAACCACCCTGAGTACAATCCTTTCCTCCCTCACACCCGATGATGGAAACATCCATTTTCAGGAATGTCATGTATATTAGATGTACTTACTTGTGTACACCAGTCTAAGAAAAATGACCAGTGGTATATTTCTGTAACATAATCTGTTTCAGTTGGAGCTGGAGGAGAAGAAGATGCAGCTGGAGCACTGTCAGCAGCTGCTCTCTATGCAACAGAATGAGCTAGAGAGTGAAGACATGATTGTCAAAGTGATATGCGACACTCTGAAGCAGTACCGTTTCCTTCTGCAGGGACACAACATTACAACAGATGCCATGATATCACATTATAATGTTAGTTATGGTTGTTTTGAGTTGAATGATATTCCTCCTTGTAGAAAAGTTTTGTTTGCTTATTCATTTCTCTTTCCTTAATTCTTCCTTCATTTCTCAGTTTGTTACCTCCTTTCTTCCTTCCTCATATTCCTAATGTAGGAAATTAATTCTTCCATGGAAAATTTTCACTTCAGTTAGTGAGAGAATTGCATATCAGTTGCTATGATGTAATAGTAGGGAAGCTTTCCCATAATGCATGATAACTTCTCTCACGTGCACAACATTATTATTGCACTGTATAACAAGAAGAATGGAAAGAGATAAAACCTTGGTTCACTACTCCCAACGGTTTTATAAGTCTCCTGTAACTGCAGCAAGCAATAAAATTTGGAAATATTAAAAAAAGGTAAAGCTATACCTGTAACAGACTGTGGAGGCCCATAGGGTTGTGAGACGTCGAGGCTCCCACATATTCTAGACAGTCAGTTGACATATGGCGGTGAGATAAGCGGCCTCCGTAGTCTAGAGGTAACTTTCCCACCTCATGACTCGTAGTACGCGGGTTCAAATACCCGGCGGAGGTCGTCGAATTTTTAAGGGCAGAAAAATTCAGGGAACAAGTCCTCCATGAGNGGTTCAAACCTGGCGGAGGTCGTCGAATTTTTAAGGGCAGAAAAATTCAGGGAACAAGTCCTCCATGAGGGACTTTTGAATTGAATTGAATTGATTTACATTCTATAAATCCTAAGCAGGTTAGTACCTTTGGATACAGACCAAGTCAAAAGGTTACATACAGAAGTACAGGCAATTTTAGCTTAAAAATTAATATAACTTAATTTTACATCATTCTCTATTTACATTGAAGTATTCATCTAAAGAGTAGAAGGAATGAGCATGTAGATAATTCTTTAACTCTGATTTAAACTTTTTAGTATCATTGCCCAAGTTTTTAATACTTTGTGGCAGATTGTTGAACACTTTTATGCCAGTAAAGTAGACTCCTTTTTGATATACTGATAAAGTTGATGAGGGTAGGTGGAAGTTATATTTTTGTCTAGTATTCATGTTATAGACATCAGAATTTAATTTGAATTTATCTTTGTTGTAAACAACAAATAGGAGAAGCGATAATATGTATTGCGATTGAAGCGGTAGAATTTTTAATTTCTTAAATAATTCTCTACATGAATCTCTACTTCTACATCCTGTAATGATTCTAATTATATTCTTTTGTATTTTAAAAATTATTACACTATGTGAAGAGTTCCCCCAAAATATTAATCCATAGTTCATAATAGAATGAAAGTAGGCATGGTAAACCATCTTCAATGTTTCCTGTGACATAAAAGGCTTAATTGATCTCATCGCATAGCAAGCTGCATTTAATTTAGGTATAATTTGTTCAATATGTATTTTCCAAGACAGTGTACTGTCTACATGTATTCCAAGGAATTTTGTATCAAGTACTTTACAGATTAATTTGTTGGCATGACTGATGTCCAGATCAATTTGGTGGTTGTTTTTAGTTGTGAATGATATGTAATGGGTTTTATCAAAATTTAATGAGAGTAAATTGGCTTCGAACCATCTGTTTAAGGCTTCAAATACAATATTTATGTCATTTTTAAAGTTTTCAAATTTAGAGTTCTTAAATATTATACTATGTCATCTGCATATAGAATTGGTTTAGATTTATTGTTGATGGTTTTAGATAGATCATTTAAGCTGTGTGTCCCATGTCGTAACTTTACGGCATGTAAAAGAACCTCATATCCCCAAAGGGGATCACTGAGCCAAATTCCAGGACGTTTCCTGCCCAACAATAGTCTCTAAGGCCTCTGATAGATGGGGGAAGCATTATAGACACCGCTAAGCAAGTGGCCAAACTTGCTTGCTCAGCAGGACTGATGGTACGCGCCATTTATCGGTAGGGTATAGAGACTGGTAGAATATCATAGAGGGAAGCACAATAGATCAAACTGGTCGTGGTGCATGGGGAAACCCACCCTCTCCAAATAACTAACTAACTATGGCGGTGAGATTGTCAGCCTTACTCGCTGGCCGCCCAGTAGCCCCAGGAAGATTCCTGGTACTCATTTCTATTAGAGGCTGTCAACCCCAGGGCCACAGTGCAGCAAATTCGAAATATTTCTGTCAATAAATTAGGTAAATCTTCTTTCAGTTTCGCTTGACAATAATAACTGAAATTGCTCATTTAGTTTTATATATGCAGACTAACAATATTCTTCATTTTGTGTACCTTTTATGATTTGGGTGCTTGATTTTATTTATTGTGAAAAGCTACATGTTTTGATACTTTCCACAGGAACTGGTTCAAAAATTGGAAGGATTCAAGCATATTTCATGGAAAAAAGATGAGGAAACTGATGATGTTCATAAGTTTACATTTAGTATTGAGGACTGGTCAGGGCAGAGTTTATGTTTGGAGGGTGCTGTTAAGACTCAGCCGTCCAAGAAACCGTTAGAAGATAAAGTCATACCTGAACTAATGATTGATTATACAGCCAAAAGTGGTCCTTCTTCAAGCATTATGTTGACAGCTACCTCCCTTGAGAATGAAACATCAGAAAATGAATCAGAAGTTGGTGATATTGATCAGTGTGGTGATGTTTGTTCAGACAGGATGTTGGAAGATACCACTAACAGAGTATCAGTATCAATAAATGAGATAATAGCTGGATCAGAAAGTACGAGTGCTGTCACTGAAAGTAATACAAATTCAAGCGTGACATTAGAAACTGGCAATTCAGCTGGTCTCCTTCCAGTCAGTCAAAAAAATGTTCCAGAAAATACTGAAGTTTCAGAGATGCAAAGAGTAAAAGATAAACCTGCAGAATATTGTGGGATTCTGAACGAGATGAATTTGCCAGTAGACCGTATGCAAGGCGTTGCTGCACAGTGTTCTCTGACACCTCTGAAAGTTGGCTGCGGCACTGTTCCAAATGACTACAGAACTCAAGGCTTTCAATTAAATGACACCTTTGTGTTGCCTAGAAGCCCACCAATGTGTACTCAAATGAAGACTCCTGGAAGACTGGTACAGAGGAGTGACACTCAATCAAAAGTACACATCACAGGTAATGAATAAAAATAGAAATTTAGAATGTTTAATGGGTTTAACTCTTTCAGTGTTATAATCCTACAGAATACTTATCTACGCTATATCATGGCAGACATGAACTGGCCACAGAATTTCCTGGTGTAAGAAAAAAAATAAAGCTATCCCTGTAATAGGCCGTGAAGGCCCATAAGGTTGTGAGACGGTGAGGGTCCCACACTATCTAGACAGTCAGCTCAAAGATGGCAGTAAGGTTGTCAGCTTTACACGCCGGCCGCACTTTACTCCCGAGGAAAATTATTTAATTAATTCCTGGTACTCATTTCTGTTAGAGGCTGAGTAAACCCCAGGGCCTAGTGCAGCTGGAAGGATTAGGTCAACTGAAAAAATGCAATGACCTCATCAGGATATGAACACACCACCATTATTTGCTATTTTACATTTGTGTTCAAGTTCATTGTTTGAAGATACAAATATGTTATATTCCTGGCAAAATTTATCAGGGATGTGGAAACAGCGACATAAATACTGTTATTTTAAACTTTTTGAAACATACAGATTGTATTTTGCATAGAGCAAATTATTTGTCTTTGTATTGTATTAAGAATTGTTCACATATAAAGCATTTCATGACAAAATTATATGTATCATGTGTTCATATGCTGAGTTTGTGTAATACTGAATGAAGTGAAGGCATTTACAAATTATCTCTGTGGTCTAGTGGTTAGAGTGCCTGGCTACAGATCCAGTGGTCCCGGGTTCAATTCCCAGTGCTACCAGAGTTTCTGAGAAGTAGTGGATCTGGAACGGGGTCCACTCAGCCTTGTGAGGATAATTGAGGAGCTATTTCAAGGAAATAGTGGTTCTGGTATAGAAAACCAAGACTAACGGTCATGGGGATCCGTTGTGCTGACCACGCAACACCCTCTATCTGCAAAAGTTGGCACTAACTTTGCCGACAAGTGGCGGTTGCTCGGTTGGTATAGTTTGCTTGCAGACTACAGGTCATGGAGTTTTTTTATGCGTATTATACAGTTGTATGGTTTTCTTTTGCCCTCTTTGTTCAAAATACAATTATGTATTTTTGTATGTATGAGACAAAGAATAATTATTCTTACCTTGCAGTTAATGAATCTGGCAGTACAAGGAAGAGAAGTGCCTATGCTGAAGTAACAAGCAAACTGTGCAATAAGGAAAATCGAGCTGCAGCCATGAGGGTGCGGCCATCAGCATCTTGCCAGCGCGGTCAATATAAAGGCAGTAAGGATCACACCTTTACAGTTCCAGAAGTGCCACAGCTGCAGTCTTCAAAACCTTCTATGCACAGACTGACACCAATTTCTAAATATTACAAGCATCCTGTGACTAAAGAAGGTAGAGTTTTTAAGTTTATTTTTTATGGTTTGTTTTTTGGTGAATTTTAGAGAATTTACATGTTTGAGTAATTGATACATTTAAAATAAGGCTAAAAGTATACTCATTACCTGCTTCCAGTAATTTGCCTAAGGAGGAACTTTCATTAGGAAAAATTTCTTATGAAAATGGAAAATAACATGGAAATTTCAGAATATTTTTAGCTTATTTGATGCCAGTAACTGATGAATGGGAGTAGTGTGATGCATTAAATTCACACACGAGGAACATTTTATGAACACATCTGGTTACAGTACTGAGACCAGAACCCTAAAGTGCAACGCACTAAAGAAAACTGATTTTAATAATTGTTCTCTCATACTGCAACATGTGAACTGTGTATTTCTCAGTATTGCACCTCCGTTTCCTATTTATGTAGTTATTTTATTGCACACAGAATCACTTAAGGTAAAAGTAAAGTTATCCATGTTCGTAATTAAGCACCGCATCATGAGGATATACAAGAGAGGGGATGTTATAGCTCCACCTCAGCACTAGATGTCATCTCATAAAATACATGTAGTAGCTACCTAAGTCAGACCTGTGCAACCTATTTATGCCTGAAGCCTTTTTCCATATACTCATATAGAGGCAGACAGGAAATGATGTTAAATTTATATCATACACGCATAAAATGAAAAAATATAAATTTTGTAGTTAAATAGACTATCACATTATGATTATAGGTCTATTCTTAATAAGGAGTGAGCATTCACAGAATTCTTTAATATACTGCTACATGTATCTTGGTAACACAATAGTAGCTAATTGGTTCCGGGTTTGATAACTCCATTTATTTGATAATTTCCACGTTGTAACTACAATTCATTACATCAACTATTAGACTGCCTTGAACAAGGTCTTCCAGATGAATGTCCTCGAACAATGTCAAAGTCACATTGAGACCGACGGTCAGTCAGTCAGTAATTCTTGGTGTCAAGCCCCATGTGGGGCTCATGACCAGATTATTGCTGTTTGACAGTTATAGTCTTGTTTTCATGGGGTGCTCTCTCTGATGACAGGATGGGTCTGTATTTTGTGTATGCTGCTGGCCCTTACCCGCGCAGTCTTTTTCAGGTCCAAGTCCCTTGGGATTCGTGACCATATTTTACTGTCTCAGATTTGAGACTTCCCTTTTCGTCACCTCCAATATAGGGTCACGATGGAGGTATTCAACCCCGCCTCCACACGGGTGTCTACTCATGTCCTTGAACAGTGTTCACTGCTCTCTATATAAGCTCGGCACGGACCACCCACAGAAAACACCTTGCTGCTCAGCAACGGATATCATGTATTGTTGTCAGGCATGTCCACCCATGCATTGCCTAGCAACGGACACTCTATATTGTTGGATGCTCGTTGGTTGGAACATGTTTACATATTCATCTCCTAGAAATTGCCCAGTCTGTCACAATTCTAATATAAATTTCTTGATAGCATAAGTAGAAAAAATATTGACAGAAGGTTTGTGCCCAAGGTGATTTTTTTTAGTGGACTGCATAATTCACCATTGCTCAGACTGATCTACTCCAGTAAAAGGTAAAAAAAAAGGTAAAGTTATCCCTGTAACAGGCTGTGGAGGCTCATAGGGTTGTGAGAGTTTGAGGCGCCCACATCATCTAGACAATGGTCTCACAGATGGCGGTAAGGTCAGCCTGACGTTCTAGCCACCCTTTACCCCTCAGGAAGATTCGTGGTACTCATTTCTGTTAAAGGCTGAGTCAAACCCAGAGTCATAGTGTGGCTGGAAGGATTAGGCAAATTGAAAAAATGCAATGACCTCATCTGGACTTGAACCCACAACCCTCCGGCTTGTAACATAGTGCCTCAACCAACTACACTCCCACATACCTTGATCTACTCTAGGGATATGATATGGTGACATTTAAGTGCATGATGTTATTTCATACTTTTCTCCTCCCTTTTTCAGAGTTGGGAAAAATGGCATATATGAAGCACAGGGATCAGCTGAATAGAGCTCACCCATACAGTGCTGATTAATATTCATGTGATTTCAAGGTGAAGATGCACTACAAAGTATCACATTGGCACTGCTGTAAAGCAGTGCTGAGAATTAAACTTACCCACTTAGACTTAAAGTTTTAGTGCTATGGACTCCAACAACCTGTTTTTAGGTAACAGTACTTGGCAATGACAAGGAAATGGTAGTATGGAATCTTTCATGTTAAGTGTCTTATAACAAGTGAGCCATAAAGATGATTCTTTGTTTAAGTATAAAATTTGTATTTAAACTTTTTAGTGAGATAATATATTTTAAGATTTTTATATGTTAAATTGGGCTTATGAGATTAAACTTATGTAGCTGTTGCTTCTGGTATGCAATGTGAGTACTGTGATTATTGTTTAAATTCTTTACTTTATTATAATTTAAGTTGGATTAACATATATGGCCAGTTTTAATTCTTGTCCCTAAAATACATAAAATTAAACTTAACTTAATGCTTAGCTTTGATCTGTTTTCTGTAATAATGTTTATAACCTTCCACCCCCTCTTCATGGTGATATGTATTGTAAAAGAAGTACTGACACTTAGTTCAGCAAGCAGCAATAACAGTTTTGTTATTTACAGCATTTTCTGTGACTTATGCACAATCATATAAGTGACAACTTCATTGTCTCAGGATTGAAGCCCCGACAGGTTAACTGATTGGAGTGTTGATGCCCACATGATCCTGGAGGGAGAAAGCTTAAAGAGCTTATACAAGATAAAATCAAGTAGATTATAAAGGGTTCTGACGATGGTGGATGACACACAGAATTACTGGGTTTTTGGACTTTTTCCATCATCTGGAATTCTAGGTAATAGAGGACACGACATTTTGGAAACTGGATCTGTTTCCGTCATCAGGTGAGAAAGGAAGACACCTACTTAGTTGGGCCACTTAGAAAGAGCTAATCTCAATCACTCGATGATAAAATCAGTAGTTAAAGGAACTTGGATACACTATCCACTAATGTTAAAAAAAGTAAATTCGTTCCTATGCTTAACTAATTAACCACTGTGCCATGAAGGCATACAGGGGAAGTGGGTGTATGGATGTATAGATCCACATGTTGTTGATCTCGGTACCAGATGGAGGTTAGTGGTCAGCTTCACGCTCCTGCAGCTTTACCCCTGGGGAAAGATTCCCTGGTACCCATTAAATAGGAGGTTGGGTGGATCCCAGAGCAGGTCTGGATGACATGGAGAAGTGAAAATCCTTGCACCCCCTCGGTCATCTAGCCCATAACCAGTCACTATACCAACTACACTATCCCAGCTCTTATCCACCAATTTTACTACTAGTATAAAATTTAATCCAAGAAATGGGTTATAATATTTATAATATCTATTATAACCCATTTATTTCTTGAATTAAATAGTTTTCGTAGAATAAATAAACATTCCACAGTAGAGAGGAAAACTTTCTTTTATGCAGGGAAGCTTTTGTGCAAACAAATTACTATTTTTGAGATCTCACCTACCATTCTGTCCACTGTCAAGTCCTACCACTGACATACGTCCCACCAACTGAGAAACTCCTTATGTAACCTACACAGCTGAAAAGTTGTATTAAATGTTTAAGAAGTCTACCACCATGTGACAGCCACAGTGGTTCTTCACTTCTTGGAATATCTGCAGCTCAGGACACAAGATGGTACTTCTGTGATCTAACATGTTGGTGTTTTACTGCCTATAACACTAGACTTAGTGCAGTGGTAACGAACTTGGAAGGTGCTCAGTTTGAAGCTCGGCAAAGACACCAGCTATCCTGACCAAGATTTTATGTGGTTTTCCTCAGTCCCTACAAGCAAATGCCAGTATAGTACCTCAATTAGGCCATGACCACTTCCTTCTAAATCCTTTCCAAGTTGTCAATCATGTTATCATTCAGTGCTTTGTAGTCTAAGTACTGGAAGCATCATAAAATAACCAACAAAATAAAAACAGCAGAACACACGATACAGCCCTCAAAAGCACAAGGACAGTTCACATCTTTCTTCAAACTGGCAGGCAGTGAGTGGTGAAGGGTGACTCAATCATCAGCTAACATTCTGTTACTGCTTGTGAAATATGTTGTGACATGACGGCTGAAAGCTGGAATGGTTGACCCTGAAAAGGCATCCATTGCTAGGCAATGGTTGGTAAACATATTGCAACAGCAACCAAAACATGCTGCCACATCAACAATAGAGCAATTCTTGAAAGCGGTGTTTTCTGTGTGGTCTTAATGAGATTATATAGTGACATCAGCTGAGGGGACGAAAAGGGGACCCAGTGCCTGCGGGATTCTTGAATCTGAAACAGGAAGATGTGGTCATGAGTCCCACAGGACTCAGACCTAAGATCGACTGCACTGGCAAGGGCCAGCAGCAGTTGTAAATGACAGACCCGTCCTCTCATCAGAGAGGATGTTATATAAGGACTATGACCACAAGTGTTCAGTTGGAAAAACAAAATTACTGGTCATAAGTCTCAAAGGGGTTGTCGCCAAGACAAACTAATTGGCGGTAAACCACCAGTTGTAAAGTAACTCTGACTCTGAGCGGCCTCCGTAGTGTAGAGGTAACGTTCCCACCTCATGACTCATGGTACGCGGGTTCAAACCCGGCGGAGGTCGTCGAATTTTTAAGGGCGGAAAAATTCAGGGAACAAGTCCTCCGGGAGGGACTTTAATCCGTGTGTCTCATGTCGTAGCTTTACGGCACGTAAAAGAACCTCATATCTCCAAAGGAGGTCACTGAGCCAAATTCAAGGACGTTTCCCGCCCAACAAGTAGTCTCTAACACCTCTGAGATGGGGGAAGCATTATAGATACCGCCAAGCTAGTGGAGGCCGAACTTGCTGGCTCGGTTGGGACTGATGGTATGCACCAATATCGGTAGGATATAGAGACTGGTAGAATATCATAGAGGGAAGCACAATGGACCAATACTGGTCTAAGTGCATGGGGAAACCCACCCTCTCCAATAACTAACTAACTCTGACTCTGACATGAGTCGCAGGTCACTCTCATCAGAGAGGATGTTACATAAGGAATATAACCACAAATGTTCAGTTGGAAAATTAAAATTATGGTTGTGGGTCTCAAGGGGCTTGTCACCAAAACAAACTGATTGGCAGCAAACTGCCAGTTGTTAAGTAACTCTGACATGAGTTGTACTTCTCTCATTGACTTAGGCCCCCTGAGTCTCATCTTATATTGAATGGATGGAATAGCCCCTTTGTCAATCATACAAAATATCTGGGTGTATTCTTCAATAAAAGGATTACATGGAGACTGCACATAGAAATGATTGAAGCCAAGGCCTTCAGAACATTTATTTATATTTACTTTCTATTCAAAAGTGAGCATTTAAGTGCCAACATTAAACTAACCCTCCATAAGGCACTGATCACAGTAATGACTTATGCTTGTCCTGCCTGGGAATTACTGGCAGACACCTACAAAACAAGGTTCTCCGCACCACTGGAAATTTTCCAAGGTTCACACCGGTCCATGATTTACACACAGCTTTCAACTTCCATATGTATACGTGTATGTATATGATTATGTAACAGAATTATGCAGGCAACCAGCAGAAGTAATACAAAATCATGAGAATGAACATGTTCGCAGTATAGGAGGAAAGGTGAAGTCACACATGGAAAATATAAGAGGCTTAAACTTGGCGGTGGTCAAGCTTACGGCCGTTCAAATGACTAAGACTGCTGTTGCAGCATAGGATAAACAAGATAGACATGATCTGCTCTGTAAATCCTGTACTTATAGGAATTGTATGTAGTGCAAAAGGAAGATGTGATACATACGCTTGACAAAAGGCCAAGCATATTCATAAGAGGCAAACTCATCTTCTCAGTTACATAAGGACTATGACCACAAGGGTTCAGTTGAAAAAATGCCTCTGGTCATGAGTCTCAAGGGGCTTGATGCCAAGATGAACAGATTGACTGTAAAAAAAACCGCCAGTTATAAAGTAAATTTGACTTTGACATGAGTCGGAAGTTGGTGGTCAGATTTGGTGGTTACCAGTCCAGAGTTTGAAGTTGCATTATTAGACGCTGCCACCAAGCAACAACCAGTGAAGACAGAGAAGACTTGACATTTGCAATAGTGATTTGTAGAATATGTAGATAGTGGGCCAAGCCATAGCTCAAGCGGTTAGTCGATGGCTTCCCATCACGGCAGCCCGGGTTCGATCCTGGGTCTGGTCAAGTGGAATTTGTGGTGGATAAAGTGGCACTGGGGCAGATTTTCCCCGAGCACTTCAGTTTCCCCTGCCAATCTTCATTCCACCAATTGCTCCACAATCACCCTCACCTATCATCTGGGGCTGGTACAATAGGCCAGAAGTGGCCGCAGTACAAGGGATTTAGTCCCACCCCACCAGCAATAAAAAAAAATGTAGGTAGTGAAAGTGTTATAATTATTTGTAGTTACGAGTTGTAAGTGTACAATAAATCCAGTTATCAATCTAAACCGTGTGTAGTCACTAACATGCAACAAAAGCACAATAGACCATTGTAGGTCGTGGTGCAAGGCCTCCTACCCCTCATACAACATGTTACAATATAAATCGCACAGCATACACTTTGGGAAACACCAGGATTAACTGTTTTCTTTTTTTTTTTAGAGTAGGTATCTAAGGTTGGCAGCACCTTAAGCTCCAGCTCATTGGGAGGGGAAACCTATGTGACAAGAAGGAAAGACAACTGCACAATTCCTCCATAAACTAGAATTTTACTTACATTATTGTAAATATATATGAAATACACACAGTGAACAAAATAACGTAGTTACAATTCATTAGAAATTACATCATATGCACCCATTGCCAAAAACAGGAATAAGGGTTGGGTTTTGAGTGTAATCCCTCCAGCACTCTGATAATGCCACAACATACCTAATGCTTTTGGCCAACTAATACAAGTAACTAGAATTGAAAACCAACACTTTCACCCAACAGAAGATGGTTAACTCTAAATTTATTTCTGAAACATATTGCATTCTTTGCTATCATATTTCTTACAATAAATAATCATTGTTATTTGGCAGAACAGTGCCATTCATAAAGCACAACATCCTTTTCTGTGTATAACAGCAAAAGTGAATTGTGAGCTTGATGGATACTGAATTTGTTCATTCCAGTGTTACTTGATTGAAACCTTCAACTTTTTGGTTGCAGTTGGTGACATAGTGGGTTCTGGAAGCATGGTAAATGATATCTCAGCCCCAAGTAATTGTACATTAAGTTCCTCATGACTAATGGAAGTGAAGGCCATTGCCATGGTGTGTTATCTGTCATTCTTCCTTGAGAATTCAACATTTCCTGAAATAAGATTCAAAGGCAAGGTTTTAGCAAAACATTAAACAAGTTAACTGAATCCAGTTTGGGGGAACTGGTTTTTAACTAAGATAAACATACTGTCACAATTTCACAATTGAAGTATCAGGAGAAAAGCTAGCAAATAGAAACATGGTTCATAATGAAATTAGGTGAGGAATAAATTCTGGAAATCATTTTTATTATCCTGCTCAAGAATTATCATCTTGATTGCTTTCCACAGTGCTGAAGATCAAGATACTGAAGAAAACAATATGCCATTGGTGTGTGGTTGTGAAATCTCAGATCTTACATGGAGTATTTTACTTTGAGGAATGAATGTTAATAACAGCTGTTCAAAAACAAAGTGCTAGTGAAATATCTAGAACTAAAAAGAATGGAATAATGGGACAGGTGATACTGCATTATGAGGATGTTCATAATTTATGCATGTTACCATATATTGTTAGGGTCTGTGAAATCTAAGTGGTTATGATGGTCTAGACATGTGATTTGGATGGGAGAGGTGGAAAAGCTTGTAAAATTTTGGTGAAGAGATTTCTTGTTAAGATGTCCACTTGGAGTACAGAGAAAATGGAACTATAACATGAAATTGGATCTAACTCAGGATTGTATTCAGAGGTAGATTTTGATATTAAGAGAGTTAAATCTTCACATTCTACTAACAAAGACTTAATTAATATTCACTTTCTCATTGCATCATACAAAAGATATATTTATTATCTCTTCCACTGTTATGAACAGAACTATTCCAACAAATATACAATATGATATAAATATGATGGGGTTTGGATTGGTGAATGGTATTATTGACCACTTATAGACACATCTCAGAACTACAAGCAATTACAGCGCCACCGCTAATCTCCACCAATCACAGCACCCACTAAGCCTCTTCCAGCCAGTCCCTGGCAACGGATTCTAACAGTGGAAATTCTTCAGCTTCATCTGCTCACATTCTGTCTTCACAGCCTCCTGTGCAGATCTGCCTGTCAACTGATAACTGAAATCTTTGCTTCAAACTGTCCTGCTCGTAACATCTCGGCACAGACCAAGTAGAAAACACCCTGTTTCTATTGTCATCCAATTGTTGCAGCTGCCTAGCAATGGGAATGTGTTTACTGAGCTGTTGCCCAGAAATGGCCTTGTATATTTGCCCATCTCTCAATCATTGCATAGCAATGGCTGTACACACTACAATACTTACGTATTTATCAAGTGCTGATTTTACTGTGTGTTCTAGCTCAGATGGTGAATCTGAGATCTTGCGGGAGAGGCCTACTGAAGAGACACTTGTTGTCTGTCGGTACAAAAGTGCATGGAGAGTCTGCAGTAAGAAGGCCAAGAATGCAAGACCAGCAAGAAGGGTCAAGGGATCAAAGCCAGATCTGAAAAGAAATGTAAATTTATATACAGAATTTTATTTTCTCCAAGTTTAAATTCTGAGTGAATGGAACACCTGTGGAGATGTATGGCTATTCATTCAATAGCTTAGCTATCCGTACAGTGCTAAAAGTAAAAGATTTGTGGTCACACCTACAAAAGCTGCAAATTACACTACAGTCAGTTACCATAATTCTATCAAGCACAATAGACCACTGTAGGTCGCGGTGCAAGGGCCGAGGAGGCCTACCCCTCATACATTCATACAATAATTCTACCAATATTCTATAAACATAAACCTACATAGCATAGTATAATTATCATGTTATTATGGTGCTCCATAATTTTTAATGTATTGAAGGTAACAGTACATTTTGATACTTCTGGACAAAATGATCAATATTGTGGCATGAACACACACTGGGCAGGCCATGTCTGTCTGCATAATTCAATCCCGAAACTACTGAATGGACTTCACTAATGATTTATAGTGGGCATCTACATGAAGAGTCCAGTGATTTTAATTTTGGTTCATATCAGAATAACAAATCAGACTTGATCAGTTTCATCAAAAATATTTCTTTATAAAAGAAACTGGCATATAACATAATCCAAACCATAAATACTAGTATTATTGCCTCCATTACATAATTATGCCCACCAATGTGTAAGGGCCTCTCTCCCCATCCTGTAATTCACCTTCTTTACTTTCATACAGTGATTACCAACGTTTACACTTCATTATCCTCTCTGCTTCCACTGTCCCTCTCAGTATTCTCACAGATGAATCCAATACTCAGCTAAAGATAGCCTTTGAATAGTTTTCCTTTCAAAATGTTTGTGTCTGCTGGAGTCACCAATATCATAAGGCCGTGCCATAGCTCAAGTGGTTAGTCGTTGGCTTCCCACTGCTGCGGCTCGGGTTCAATCCCGGGTCTGGTCAAGTGGGATTTGTGTTGGACAAAGTGGCGCTGGGGTAGGTTATCTCCAAGTACTTCGGTTTTCCCTGCCAATCTTCATTCCACCAATTGCTCCACAATCACCCTCACCTATCATCTGGGGCTGGTACAATAGGCCAGAAGTGGCCGCAGTACAAGGGACTTGGTCCCAGCCCACCAGCAATAAAAAGAAGAACAATATCATTTACTTAACTCTGTGTTGTTTATGCTTTCCTTACAAAAGGAAAATGGTCCTATGAGAAGAGGAAGATGTTCCAGGCCCCCTTTTTGTTTCCCCCTCACCAACCCAGTACACATGGCCTGCTTTGTAATGGAACAAGCTACCAGAGAAGTAAAATTTATTGTCTCACTTACCCATCATAAACCCTTATAAAGTGGAAATGATGATAGGAGGAGGAAGAGGAGGAAAAGGGGATGAAGATATGATGATAATTATTATTATTTTGCAGCTTTCTTTTTGTTTCCCCTTTACCATTCCAAAATGCTGATTCTCTACCTTTGTAGCTAGGTTTATTGTCTCAAAAGAACACATTTAAATTCCTGAAGTAATATTCTCATGCTTCTCTTCAAAGGATTTGAGATGTATATAGTACATCTGTAATATAACAGTAATCCTTGCTTGCAGTCAACTTCATATATAACTGGAAACAATGAGTAAATATTTTATAAACAAAAAAAATCACTATGTCCATTGGGCTGTGAGGTACTGCTAATTTCTTCTCTCAAGCTGTGACTTCTGTCTTCTTCCTCCCCTGCACTGACCTAGCTAATGGGATTGTGAAGCCCAGTCCAGAGAGTTCATAAGGAAAACAGGATAGAAAAAAGCAAACCACAAACTTACACATACGTGTTGTATGCAGGTGGTCCATAGTGACCTCTTCCTGTTTCTGGCTGGGGTTTAAGCAGAAATGTACAGAGGGTGTTGTGTACTCCACTGGCCTCACTTGTGTCCCTCCGCAATGCTAGAAGCTCAGTACCACACAGGGTAAACATCCTCAATACTAAATCTCTCAGACCCAGTCCAAGTGTCTGCAAAGGACTGATATTTTGCAATTCTTCAGTAGCTGATACTGTGGTTGAGCATACAGCTACCAGAAATGCAAGTTTCGGCCACCTATCACGTAGCATGTTTCTGAAATAGTAAATTGTGTCACTGGAAGAAATGATCAAAAGTAAAATTTGTGTTAACAAAATATTGGAATAAGCTAATAATTATAATTATCCAAGATGTAAATTTTCTTCTGAAGGAAATGAAGATCCCAAGACAAAGAAGTCACACCAAATTCCTGAGTCTCATAAACCAGCTTTCCAAACATTTATCTTAATGTATACAATTATTAAATAATAGGAGGTTGGAGAAAATCACATAATGAGGAGCTTCATAAATTGTACTCTTTGCCAAACACAATTAGAACGATAAAGTTGAGGATGAGATTGCCAGGGCATGTGGTATGCATGGGGGAGAAGACTTGCATACAGGGTTTTAGTGGGAAAGCAGAAGGAAAGAGATCACTAGGAAGACCTAGATGTAGGTGGGAGGATAATATTGTCACGTATAGGGGTGACTACTAGACAGTGCCTGGATTGGATGATTGGATTTATTGATACCTTATTCACACCACTCAAGTGCTAGCACTGAGCTACACACTTTACAGTTCACTGTTACACCCACTATTGTCCTCAGTCTATTACAGTCTCCACTACCCATTTCCTGGAAACAGATTTTAACATAAGAATTATAGTTTCACTGAATCACACACTCCAAATATAACTGTACTACAGTACACATAAAGTCTCCTCTTCACAACCAGACTTTCGACTCTCCACTGAACGCACTGCTGTCTCTTCTTAATCATCTTCGACTGGCTTCTCAAGAGACTCTCTCAATTCTATCTCAGCTGGCCTTGGATCATCATTATATAGCCTTGGGTCAGATCCAACAGAAAAGACAATTTCCTAACAATTCCTCTGTTGTTATAGAGGTGTGTTTTGCCTTGCCATTGCATAGAAATGGCAGCTCTGTGATATGCAGGTTAATTTCTGCAGAAACCTGTTTAACGAGTCATTGTCTATCAGTGATCGTCTACTCTGGCTCTCCTATTCTGGCTTTCAGGCGTCATGTCACACTACTACATGGACCTTAGGGAAATAAGATGGCTTGGTATGGACTAAATTAATCTGACTCAGGATAGGAACCAGTGGCAGGCTCTTGTGAACTCAGAAATGAATTGCTTAGCTTTCATCCTATTCCATTCTTCCTTCATATAAAAGAGTGAAAAGAATAGACTTAAAAATATTGTTTAAATTCAGAACACACATTTATATATCATATGGTTGTTCTGTTCATATGCTGTATGTGTTATTTAAGTGGGAATATCTTGTTTAAATGTTTATACTAAAGCTAGGTCAATGCATTTGTTCCAGTTTAACAGACAACATGCTCTTCTCTTCACATGTCATTTAACATAGTCTTGAATAAAAAGATGAACATGGCATAAATAATTGTAGTATGCATGGCTGGACGTTGGAAGTATACATTAACCTTGGTTGCCAATCTCTAACATGACAGGCAGCCAACTGTGACACTGGCAATAAAGAAAGAGAAGAACAGATACAACAAAAAAATGAGTTTTGTGACATATTTTAATAAGACTAATTCTGAGTGCTCTCTTATAGCAACATTCAACAGCATTGGGTATTGACATCTTTTTACACAATAACAACAAAGAAGTAATAAATTTACTGAAAATATGACACTAACATAAGAGAATTCTGAATTTCCCCATATTCAGATTTGACAAAGGAAAGTCTAATATTTTTTTTTTTAATTTTGACACTCACTCATGGAGCTGAGCCCTTCTTGAGAAGCCACCAATTGTGCAGTCACCCAAGAACTTCCCAGCATTTTATGGAACCTGAAGGTTTAGTACCATATTCATGAGAGCCTTCCACTGCTCACTATCCTGAGTCAGATCAGTCGAATCCTTACCATCGTATCCTATCTCTCTAAGATACATTTTAATATTATCCACCCACCTATGTCTTGGTCTTCCTAGTGGTCTCTTTCCTTCTGGCTTTCCCACCAATAACCTATATGCATTCCTCTTCTCCAACATTTGTGCTGCATGCCCTGCCCACCTCATCCTCCTTGACTTGATCATTCTCATTATACTTGGAGAAGAGTACAAATTATGAAGCTCCTCATTATGTAGTTTTCTCCAACCTCCCATCACTTCATCTATCTTCGGTCCAAATATTCTCCTCAACATCCTGTTCTCAAACACCTTCAGTCTATGTTCCTCCCTTAATGTTGAGAGACCAAGCTTCACACCCATACAGAACCACAGGAAAAATTATAGTTTTGTATATTCTAAGTTTTATGTTTTTAGACAGCAGACAAGACAAAAGGTTCTGGACTGAATGGTAGCAAGCATTACTCAAGTTCAGTCTCCTCTTAATTTTCTCCTGAATCAGGTTTTGATATGTTATAGTTGTTCCCAAATATCTGAACTGCACCACATTTTCAAAACATCTTTTAGCTATCTTTATGTAATGATTTTAATAATGTTATATTTTAGCGTCCTGTTGCACTGACTCATGTCCATGACTTATGCTAACCGTCTTACAGTGCACACACTTTTTCACCTTACTCGTCTCTTTTGAACTACATGTTTCAGCACTAATGTGCCATCTTTAGGTACATTTTCTCTATGCACGTCTAACTACTGCATTGCATGCCCTGATGCATATCCAGTAGTATAACGCACGCAGTCACAGGAGCAAGACACAACAAAGAGCACAATACACATGAATGTAGGAAGGGTGCTCCCACAGAGGAGGATTGGCGTGATTCGCGTACTGAGATATGACATAAGGATGACGAATCCAGAAAAGTTTCAATATTTAAAATCTTCTATTATATATGACAAATATATATTTTAGTCATTTTAGTATGAAGGCATCAGGGCATGCAATGCAGTAGTTAGACATGCATAGAGAAAATGCACCTGAAGATGGCACATTAGTGCTGAAACATGTAGTGCAAAAGAGAAGAGTAAGGTGAAAAAGTGTGTGCACTGTAAGACGGTTAGCATAAATCATGGTAATGATTTTATCCTGCTTTCTGGTGACAAAACAGCAATGTATACGTAGTTTTCTCCGTGTTTACTTCTAGACCAACCTCCTTACCAGCATCAGTTAAAGTTTGTGTATTTTTCTTTATGGTATCTATGTTATCTCCCAGTAGATCACATCATCAACATAGACCAACAGCTGATGTGTCCCATTTAATTTCAGTTCCACCTGGTTTTCCTGGAGCTCCCTAAAGGCACATTCTAGACCAAAGTTAAAAAGCAGTGATGATAGAGCATCTCCTTGTTTTAGACCATTCTGGATAGGAAAATTATCAGACAAATGTTTACCCATATGGTCTTTACTATACATTTCGTTTAGACACATTTTAATCAGCCTAACTAGTTTCATGGGTACCCCAGACTCTATCAAAATATTGTACAATACTTCCCTCCTAATTGCATCATAAGCTTTCTTGAAGTCTACAAATAGCTGATGTGCTATCTAATTGTACTCCCATTTTGTCTCCAGTATCTGACGAATGCAAAAGATTTGATCAGTAGTTGATCTATTACATCAAAACACACACTGATGATCCCCAATAATTTCATCTATGTATGGACTTAACCTTGAGAGAAGGATATTGGATAAAATTTTGTATGACGTTGATAGAAGTGATATCCCACAATAATTACTACTGTTAGTTTTATCACCATTCTTGTGAACTGGTATGATAATAGACTCCTTCAACTGATCAGGCAGTTGTTCCTTATTTCAAATATAATTAATTAGCTTATGGATCTTAGAACATAATATTTCACCTCCTGCTTGAATCAGTTCTGCCAGAATTTGATCATTACCCGGCGATTTATACCTTTTCAACTTTGCAGTAGCAATTTCAACCTCAATGGGGCTTACTAATGGCTCAGCCGTATGTACTTCTATCTGCCTAACATCACTAACACTATGTAAATTCAATAACTGAGAGAAGTAGTGCTTCCACCTATTCAAAATGTGGGAATCTGCAAGTAGATCATCATTCTCATCTTTCACTAATTTACTTCTAAGTTGGTAACCCCTCTTAAAGTCATTATTCTTCTATACGGGTCTCTAATGTTCTTGTTCTTACTGTTTGTTACAAGCTCATCAATTTTGTCTTTCAGATATTCCCTCTTTTTATTCCTGAAATGCCTGCTGGTTTCACATCTTATATTGTTTAGATTATCCCCATTCATTTCGCTTGGATCCTGTAACCACTGAAATTTGGCATGTTTCCTTTGGTCTAATCATGAAGCCGACCACTTACTTCCATCTAATGCCAAGGTCAAGAATGGTGGAGCTATACCTCCACTCTCCCATGTCTCCATGGCATAGTGCTTAACTATTACACACAGTGACAACTTTATCCATCTCTATTTTTTCTTCCCCTACACACAGAAAAGAAATGCAAGAATATTAAAATAGCTGTTCATAATTTAATTTCAAGCAAAATATTTATTCTATTGTCAATAATGAAAATTTAACTTATACAGCAAAGTTAGTAGCATTAATGTGCAAGATCTGTCAAATCCACAGAATGATATGGCCAGCTGGGTGTCCTTAATGATCTTCTTTAGTTTATCTATCTTATCCAGTCCAGGCAAATGCTAGGATATTAGATTAAAATATTTTCTCCCACATAACATCCTTTATTCAGCATTCAGTGAAATTTGTACTGTAGTGGTGAACATTATTGCTTCATCTGTACAAAGTTGTGTGTTCAAATATCAGACAATAGGTAGTTATCCTGGCATTTTTCATGGTCTTTCAGGCAAATTTTGGGACATTACCTTAAACATTTGCTTCCACTTCCATCCTTATTTGTCATTCATCAAATGCTGCAGCATTGTGGTAAATACTGCTGCTTTATATTTAGGGAACTCTGCTGTCCTACACTCAGCCAAGAAGCCAGATATGCTGATAGTGCTATATAACCTCAACAGTTTACATAATATTTAAAATCTATTTTTCTCCTGTTAGTTTATTTTTATGACATTTTTGACTGCAAATCCAGTGACTAGGACTGTTAATTATTAATTGGGATGTAAAAGCCAGCATGATTTACTTTATGACACTATCCAATCATTTGTTTTAACAGATTGCAGAAAAATGTGAAACATCTCAGTTATCATGTTAAGAATTGAACCCTGTAACTCCCAAATAGAAAGCAAGAGGGAATATTATTCACCCATGACATTCAGTAGCACTTAATTAACAATGTTGGGCCCTTCTTCTGTGATCTAATGTTTTCAGACTTCAGTCCTTACCTTGCTTCTCTCTCTTGGGTATGTATGCTTAAGTTCCTGTAATGTACCACTTTGAGACTGGAAACTGAAACACATCTCACCAACTCTTATATATGGATTATCTTTCAGCCATCATCTTCAAGGTGATTTATCATGCTCCACATGACACTGAGGCATGCATGAAATAAAAGGTCTGAGAGTTATTCACTGGTCCATGACCTTATTTAATAATGTCTGAGTTCAGAAAACCAGAAGAAAGGAATGATTATAAAATGTGCCAATGACCTACATTTGGTGATTTACAGGAACCATTGGTGGGCATGGCTTTGTGGAAAAATAAATGAAAATTTTTCTAAGCTAATCAGGTTTTTTGCTTAGGATTCATATGCCATTTATTCTACTTTAATTGGTTTATCATTTCATCAGTCTTCACTGACAACCACTCACATAATAAATTAAACAATCTGGAAAACGTTAAATATATTCTTTTACTGTCATGCATTCCAGTATCAAGCCTAACTGGTCTATTATGGTTATTAACTAAATAAAATCTTTGTTTTATAGATTTTATATCTCTGTATATATTTTCATTTTTTAGATCTCATTACATCTAATTGCCATACAAAATTATATCCATAAACACTAAGCGAGACATAGGCATAGAGTGGAGGACAATATTAAAATGCATCTTAAAGAGGGTGGGAAGGTTTGGACAGGATTCTATTGGCTGAGGATAGTATACTGTAACAGGCTGCTGTGAATATAGTAATGAACCTTTGGGTTCCTAAAAACTTTGGGAATTTCTTGATCAGCAAGAACTGCTTCATGGAACTCATTCTCCATTGTTTCTGGTGATATTCAAAATTCTGTCATGTTATTACCACATTTTTGGCTTACTTTCCTCAGGGAAAGAAAGTTGGCTTATGAAAGACCATGCTGTCTATATGAGTGTCCCCTTTCAACTTTTAAACCAACTGTGTGATTTTCATGGAACCTTTGTGAATGTTTTGCCATTTGAATCTCATACATTTTAATTTCTTAAATTGTTAATATCATAGCAAACAAACTTGAGATGGGAGTGGCACTAACATCACTTAATATTGGGTTATGAAATAATGTATGAGAAACATCAGTGACAGTAACATACACACCATGTACTGTGAGCATACAAGTAACACTGAGCCAGTTTGCTCAGTAATTGTCAGTAACAGCAAGTATAAAGATGCCATTATAAAATTGAGGCTCTATGCTACAAGTCGGAAGGTCGCAGGTTCAAGTCCCGATGAGGTCATTGGATTTTTTTCAATTGATCTAATCCTTCCAGCCGCACTATGGCCCTGGGGTCGACTCAGCCTCTGACAGAAAAAAGTACCAGGAATTAATCCAATAATTTCCCTGGGGAGTAAAGCGCAGCCGGCGCATAAGGCTGACCTTACCACCATCTTTGAGCCAATTGTCTAGATATTGTGGGACCCTCAATGTCTCACAACCCTATGGACCTCATGGTCTGTTACAGGGATAGCTTTACTTTTTACTTTTACATTATAAAATTGGACACTAAATTACACAGGCATTGACAGGTAATCTGCAACATAGTACACCTATGTTCCACATTATTTACTAATTTCATTTATTGCCTACATAAATAAATTATTTTTTGGCTTATCAGTTTTATGCTGAACTATGACAGAAATGCGTAGTACCATAGTGCAACAGCCAAATCCATTCCTGATGAAGGTAACCATATACAAGTATTTCTGCAAACATTTTAGTCCTGTGGCATCACTATCAAGTAAATCTTCAGGAAGTTGTGTTTTCAAAAATTGGAAATGATGTGAATATTAGACTTCAAACAATTTAACTCAATTTATTTTCATTTTCTTCCCCTGATGTTGCACTGTCATGATAGAAGGAAGGCTAAAAGTTGCTAAAATAAGGGCATATCTGTTATTGAGAGGTTAATGACTTTTCTATTTAATTCTCTTACTTCAGGTTATATAACAACTTTTTGTACAATTAGTATTTTTTTTTAATTACTAAGATTAATTTGAATTTCATGCAAAGTAGGGGTTACAGTAGACTGATAAAACCCAAAAGCAAATCAACCTGAAAACTTTTGGCACAGACCCTCAATACAAAATCCCATCTTTGTTAAATAATTTTGGAGATGAAACATTGTGGTGGACAGACAGACACAACCTTCATATTATGCATTAATTTTGTGCACTTTATGCAAAGGAAACACAAACACTGGGATCCACACATTAATGTGTTTATACCTTAGATAACACTTTTGTGTTGTTTATAATTCTGTCATTACAGTACCATCAGAAATCACTGCTGTTATCATAATCACACAGATACGTAAACAGTGTAACTATGTTTCTTTTGGTGTGCTATTTACTGAGGTTTTCATTATCCCTACGATACAGTGTTGGAATATTTGTATTTTATTTAGTACTTAATAATACCTAACGGAAGTAATATTTTAAGTGTGTTCTGTGCTAGACTTTGTACTCTTCTCCAAGAATAAGGAGGATGAGGTGGGCAGGGCATATAGCACGAATGGGGGAGGAGGAATGCATATAGGATACTGGTGGGAAAGCCAGAACAAAAGAGACAAATAATAAGAACAAGACGTAGGTGGGTGGACAATATTAAAATGGATCTTAGAGAGAGAGAATGAGATGGTATGGATTGGATTGATATGGCTCAGGATTGGGACTGGTGGAGGGCTCTTGTGAACACGGTGGTGAAACTTCAGATTCCATAAAATGCCAGGAAACGCCTTGAGTAGCTGCACAATTGGCAGCTTCTCAAGATGGGCTCAGCTTCATGAGTAAGTACATAGGTAAGTAAGTAAGTAAGTGTGTTCAATGCTAGGCTACACAAGTCAAGATGAAACATATCACCACAACATCTCTGAATACACTGTATTTAGCAATATCAGCTGCCACAGTCAATATGTATATTTCCTTAACACAAGGCATTCATAAATCACTTTAACTACAATAACTTTATAATATCAGATCTTCCAAATACAGTATTTACAATTGCATGATGTTACATGTACATGATCTGACAGAAATGTACATAAAACAACCGCTAACATCCAGTACTAGAGTGAAAAATTCATTTCTCAAATACAAATTACAAACACCATACAGTGAAAGCATCAGAGGTTGTTGATGCAAGCCTCAGCTATCTCAAAGAGGTAGCCATATTTCCCACAGCGACGTGCCAGGTCGGCAGCACTTTCACCAGTTCTGTTTCTCAAGTCTGTCTGAATATCAGGGTGAAGCAACAGCAGTTGTAGTGTGTCTTTAGCATAGCTGTTTGATGCTGCTAGGTGCAAGGGTGTCTGCCCTAAGAAAAATAATCAGTGTAAAGAAAATAATAAATTGAAAAACCGTATAAACCTAACATGTATATGCAAATCAGATTGATTAAGAAAGAGGAGACCATTATTTAACAAAAGAAGAAAGCACATCATATTTTATGATGCTGCATCAACAACTCAGGCTGTTTAGCATTCAGTGTTAAGGTACAGTGTACAGACTGTAAATAAAGTAGCTGGAAGAATGAATGAGGAAACTGTCATGCCCTGTTTAAAGGTACTAATCCAAATAATCACAGGGAAGACCTGAGGAAAACCATGAATGACTTCAACCAAGACAACTGTGATACAGCCAATGTATTGCCACATGATAGAGTGACTATAGATGGGGTTTGGATTGATAATTGAATTTAGTGACCACTTACAGATCGTAAGTACAAGTACCTATATCGCTATCACTAATTCACACATTCTGCAGTTCACTACAGCGTGTACTAAGTCTTCTCAGTCTGCAGTGTCCTCACCAGTCGTTGCCTGGTAATGGCTTTCAATGGCCGATGTTCCCCTTCTTCTGGGTTCCAGAACTATCCCCATGCTTCAGCTACCAGCTGCTATCAGTAATGGCTCACAAGGACTGAACTGCAGTTCTCTAGCTGCTGTTTCAGGCTTCCATTCCTTATGCCATCTCTCCCTGACCGCCAGTCCTTTACTCATATGACCGCATCCCCTATGCTGTGCAGGAACGGCACAATGGCTCATCCATTTGTGGTCAGGACCCCACCATCGCCCTTGGTCCATTTTTTCGGCTGTCAGCGGTGACCTATTGCTAGATGCCAGTCCCCATATCGGTCCTCCAGTGCTCCAATAGGCTGCACTGCGGTGTCTTCATTAGGGACTTCATAATGGTCTGCTACCGCCTCTACTCCTTCCTGATTCAACTCTGACTCTTTGGCCTTCAATTCTTATAAGTCAGGCTTAATTTCAGTTTCCCTTGGTTCCTGACCAGTCTCTATCCAGGGCTTTGTGTTTTCTAGGCTGAGGTACCTCAGGGTTTTCAAGTCTATGAGGCTGGCTTCTGTCTTGGCTTGGGAGGAATCCAACTTGGAGGCGAGAGAATATCTGGGTCATCATTTCCTCGTGGACAGCTTTTACTTCGGCCATCATCTCCTCGTGGCCAGCTCTCATCTCAGCCATCAGGCATTACATCATCTGTTCTGTCATTTGTTCCATTTCTGTAGGCTGACAATATAATTATCTACTGCTGTCTTCAGTTCAACAATTCAATCCAATCCAACTACTGACATTAGTTGTCACGTGATGGAATTACTATAAACGGGGTTTGGATTGGTAATCAGATTTACTGGACACTTTAACACACAACCTGTGACTATACTCTACAAATCACTATCACACAAAGACTAGTTCTCAGTCACGGTCTTCACTGCACTACTTGGTAGTGGCTTTCAACAGCGATGTTCCCCCTTCTCTGGGTTCTTAAAACTGTCCCTGGCCTCAGCTATTGCAGCTATCAGCTGACTGCCTCTAGACTGCTTAGCCTGCCAACTCATATTCGTTATTTAGCCCCAACATAGACCATGTACAAAACGCCATCTTCCGTTATTGCATTCATACTGCTGGGGTGACCATGTGATCGCTACGAGACACTGCCTAGCAAATGTCTGCTTGTTCAATAGCACAATCACATCATTTTGTATGCTTCTCTGGCTGTTTTGCCTAACCTCAAACAAAATTTTATGTTGGCTCTCTGTTCAACCACCATTTCCCGACAAGTGTCAGAACAGTACTGTCACATTCAAGGGCATAACACATGATGCACTTTTTTGAAATTATAGACAGCCACAACTGACACTTCAAGAATCTTAACGCCACAATTCGGTCAACAGATGGCAGTGCTGTGCAAAATTGAAAAAAATGAGTCCTAACAGATCCTGGACACACCGTGTATAATTTCTGCAGTAAAATACTCTAAGAATTGATCGTTGTCCAAGTGTTGAACAGGCAAGCAGGACACAAGATGATACCTATTTGGATCAAAAGGTATCATGTCACCTTCCTTCACAGGATACTAACACCATGGAACAGAGTCCTCCTTGAGAAGTTAACACTTAGTCAGTGAGTCAAGAAATTAGCTTCAGTTTATGGAACCCAAACATTCATTACCATGTTTACCACAGCCAGTGTCACCTGTCTCTATTCTAAGCCAGATGGTTCTAGTTAACATCCTCCCATCCTACATCTCTTAAGATCCATTTTAACATTATTAACCCATCTATGCCTGGGCCTTCCATGTGGTCTCACAAACACTTTTATAAATTTCTCTTCCCTCATATGCATGCTACATTCCCTACCCATTTCATCCTCCTTGATTTGGTCATCCTAATGATATCTGTTTGGTGAGAAGTACAAATTATGAAGCTTCTCATTACATCTTCCCTCTTTCATTCATTCACCCATCAATGGCTCTACAGCCCTTTGTTGGGCCCTGAGTTTTGTAATCTTTTTCATATAGACAGTAGGACTCCTTTGACAGGGGATCAGCCCATCGCAAGGCTGCTACTTACACATGGTACAACACAAACACAAAATAAACACACACACAGACATCCATGCCTTGAGTGGGAGTCAAACCCATGATCCCAGCATTTAAACGAGCAAAGACAGTTCATGCCTTAGACCATGTGGCCACTGTGATCAGCACATCTTCCTTCTTAGGTCTGAATATTTTCATCAGTACCCTGTTCTCAGACACTGTCACTGAGATGCTTGCATCATTCTATGTTATGCACAGTTCAAGATGCACGTGAAAAGGTAGCATTTAAATATAGCTTGAGATTCTTCAAAACCTGAATTACTTGCCTCCTCTACTTGCAGCATTAGGATCTGCCCCATGTTCCAGAAGCTTTGCAACACAGTGAGCATTGTTCCATTTGCTGGCAGAGTGCAGGGGCTGCCATCCATCCTCCGTCTCTGCTGATATATTCGCTCCATGTCTGAGTAATAACTGCATGACACAGGTTTCCTCACAACATATAGCTCTTTCTCCGGCCTCAGCATGAAATCATGCCTGGCGTTGGCATGATTTCATACCATGCATGCAGGATTGGTTTTTTTAATACTACTGACATATCTAGGATAATATTTAAACTTCAAGAACAATGAAACAAAAAGTTAAGGAATTAGTTTTGTGTGACATTTTAATTTATTTTACCAAGGCGTAGGGTGGACAATATTAAAATGGATCTTAGAGAGACAGGATTGGATGGATCTGGCTCAGGACAGGGACCAATGGAGGGCTCTTGTGAACATGGTGATGAACCTTCAGGTTCCATAAAATGCTGAGAAATTCTTGAGTAGCTGTAGATCTGGCTTCTCTTCAAGAAGGGCTCAGCTCCATAAGTAAATAAGGATTTGAGTTTATTGTCCACTGTTTCATTTACACTGATTGAAAAATGTATTATATTTTGAAATGGTCTGCCAACAATTGGTGAGATTTGAATGTCATTGTTCCAAGGAAGGGTCAGAATAAACACTAATGTAAATTTCACTCACTGAAGGGGTCATAGTCACAATAATTTCACTATGACAATATGAGAAAATATTCTAATCTGTATCTTGAGTACTTTACACAGTAAGCTTATTAGAAAATGCAATATTCTTGTAACATACATTATCAGATTTGTAAAACTTGTTACTAGCCTATGCAGCAATATCCTACCTATGTTCCAGCATGCCTTGTTATATCAAACAAGACACAATGCAGTATAATTCATACAGGCAGTGTATGATTTTTGCTTCAGTAGGTTATATAACGGCACTTTCAGTATCAAGACCATACAACATAGGGTGATAGGATACCTGGTGAATGATGAATTGCAAAGGATTTGGAAGTAAACAGCTGTGGCCTAATTAAGGTACTATCCCAGCATTTGCCTGGAGGAGGAACTGAGAAAAACCACAAAAAACCTCAATCAGGATAGCTGGTGTCCTGGCCAAGATTCAAACCAGGAACCTACTGAATACAAGTTCAGAGTGTTGCCTCTAGACCTACCTGCTCGGTTATCAGTAACTAATTTCTACAGTTAGAGAAACTAACTACTGAACATGACATTTCACATTCCTACAACATATATTTCAATATTATCCTTCCATCTTTTCTGGTCTTTCAAGAGGTATATTTCAAACAGGTTCCTCAATAAAATCCCTTCAGAAGTCCTTTTACCCTCCAGGCTACAAGTTTAGTTCATGGTACTCTCCAAGATATCATTTCCCAAACATTAACAGGATCTCTTTGCTAATGACCGAATTTCTAAGTCATTCCAATAATAATCAAAGCATTTACTTACATCCACCACATGCTCATGATCATTGTAACAAGCTCTGTGAAGTGGAGTATAACCATCCTTATCCTTTGCATGAATTACTGCTGGATCAGCAAGGATCAATCTCTCTACCACAGATAACTTTCCATTCTCTGATGCCCATAAAATTTTTTTATCTGGAGTCTCTGTAAATAAAATAATGATAATAAGAACTAACCTGAGCATCTTCTATGTATGCTAAGTTTGACACTGCAATAGAATCAAACAAAATCGATCTTCGGTTAATTTAACAGAAATATACGAAAAACGAACTGCCAGAATGTTGGTAAATAAATGAAAATGTACTGGTCAATCTGTTACAAGAATGTGCTTCATGGGTAGGTTAGTAAGCTGACAACACACTAACATTCCAGCACATCCTAAGCCACTCAAAGTTCGCAATACAGATGACCCTAACATAACACAAGAAGCATACCGAAGGGATTCCTTTCTTCCTCAACTCCTTGAACGTCATCATCCCAACCACTAACTTGGCACGCTGGAAACCTCATCTTCGTAGGAGCCTGGACTTCTAGTTTATCTCCAAATTTATCATACTCTTCCTTCTCTTCCGCTGACATGACGAACTCCAGCTGCCTCAAATATTTGACATCTATGATTCAATCAGAAAACGTCTCAGTGCAACAACACCTCTACTAACAAGTCTATTTTGTTTGATTGTTGTCAAATTTCTCTTTGTAATGAAGTATTTATATTTCCTTTCGCAGTCGAGACCCTCGAGGCGACAAATCGAATGAAATCGAATATGTCACAGTATTTAGTTATCACACCGTTCTGGTTCCCTCATACACCTTATCATCCGCGGTAGGTCGTCAACAGTCACGGATATGTCCAGCAGTCTTTTGGCGGTAGTATACAGCGTATACAGTGATCTGTTAACATTTGTCATATATGCTTGCACTGGATTATGGTCTGTGGGCATAGTAGTCCGTGATCTCCGGAATGGAAACTGTGGTCGGGTTTTGAAGTGAGGCGTTTAAATGTGAAGTGAAAGTAGTTGGATATTTCAATTTTAAATAATGAAACTTAAAGGAGACATAATGTATGTATTCTCTGTATTAATCACTTCTTGGCCAGCGAAGATAGTTGATGTATCGTATGAAATACACGAAATGTATGATTTTGGCTTTTAAATATATCTATAAATGGAGTTTGATTTACACTTTCTGGGAAGAGGTTACGGTTGACTATTTACATTTGAAATGTACGACTGGCGCTAAAATGACGCGGTTATGATTACGAAGTACGAGAAATGAGAAATTATTATACTCATTATAACCGAACAGCAGCATCTGCTGCACCAAAGTAACATGGGATGTGTGCATTATTTGATTTGAGACGTTATTCTACTGTGCTCATCATAATATTGGCACACACTTCAATGTTCCGTCAATATTTACATTGGAGACAGCAGCGGGAATTGAACCTGGAATAATTTAATCATTAAGCCAGTTCAATAACCACTAGACGGTCTCTCAGTACGACATCCTATCAACTGAAGACTGAACGAGAACCAGCACTTAAAACTCAGCCTCTAACAGGAATGAATTAAATAATTTTCCTGGGGAGTAAAGTGCGGCCGGCGCGTAAGGCTGACAACTTACCGCCGTCTTCGAGCCGATTGTCTAGATAATGTGGGAACCTCAAGGTCTCACAACCGTATGGGCCTTCACGGCCTGTTACAGGGATAGCTTTACTTTTTTTTTTACTTGTCCCCATTCTTATGCTATGAGCCAGGTATCTGTCACCTCATGGATTTCATTTATAAATAACAATTGAAAAAAGAAGAAAATATACCTAGAAATTAAAATTACGTTTAAAAAATGTTTCTCTACCGTAAATAATATATAACAACCCATTAAATATCCTTAAACAAATTTTCAGCTTATTCATCTCGGAAATAATCTTGGAAATGCCTGTTACAATTAACACTTCGCGGACCGGTGATTTAAATATTTAAATCACCCTGGGACCGGCGTTTTTAAACCTACTACCTAACTTGTGCACTGTTCATTTTAAAAATTAATAAAAATCTCCTAATTAATTTTTTGAACTAAAATTTTTGGAGAACACTTCCCCAATCCTCCTAGAAGTGCTTGAGAGTGTGATATTTCTGGAAACGTTCCCCTTTGTGAAGTGGCATTACACAGAACTTGCACATGTAGACAGTCATACTCCTTTTGTTGTGTACTATGCAAACACTGCATCACCTAGAAAGCTGCTTCCCCTTGGCATGTTCACTCTTCACAATTTTCATGAGGGTATGTTTCCGCATATCACCTGAGAGTCTCCCAGGGGGGTCAAAATGAGGCCTGCGTGGGGTGGGAGTAGGTGGCCCTGGTCGTATTAAGACTGTGTCTGCTGCCACCGTGTGGTCTGTAGCCCAGGCTTTTGCCACATTCAGCAGAAATGCCTTGTATTTCAATTTTGAATGAGGGTTTAGATTTTCGAAAACCAAAAATTAATTGAAGATGGCACAATTTATAAGCCACAAGGCAACTTTCTTTGTCCACCTTATTATTTTCCTAGGAAGAGAATAATAGGCCAAGTATTGATCAGCTCTATCAACTCCCTTCATGAACATATTATACTCAGAAATACAGATAGGCTTCTTTACTTGTCCATGTCTCCTTTGAACATCAACCATGCTCGAATTGTAAATTGTGGAAGTCATATTCACAACACAAGCATCCCTATCTCCAAAAAACAGTTCAGCTACTTCAGACACTTGCATAGGGTTTGATGGCATTTGTCTCACCCCTGGATCACCAGTAAACTTTCCCAAAGTGGGTGTTTTGTCCACTTTACCCCATGTGGCTGTCCCCGTAATGCTAGCACTCGCACTTTCATCGGAGCTCTCACTGTCAGTTTCACTTTCTCTTCTGGTCGCAATATTTTGGGGGCTCCTGTCACTGCCACTGACACTGCCCTCGCTATCAGAAGACGCAGTTGGCAAGTCAGATAACTCATCGGAGATCAAATCACAGATTTCTTCTTCTCCGAGACCTCGCGCAGCCTTCAGCTGCTTTCGTCTCTGAGCCATGTTGACACTGAGAATATCTTGCCTCACACGTAGAAGCTTCGACTTGAACAAAGGGACTTTTCTTTAGAGTGAGAGGGGAATAGAGAGTGGTCACGTTGCTGACTCGGAAAACAAACATTCCGAAGGTCAACTACGCAGTACTTTTACAGACACGTGGCCACCAAAGCGAGGAATAGTGTGTTGCAACATAACATGTCCTAAAAGCCTAAATCTAGGCGACCGGTCTGCCACTTTTAAAACCCAAACGCCTAGGCCTAGGCGTCCGGTCCGCCAAGTGTTAAGTCTGTTGGGGATAGTTCCTATAGTTAGTGAATGATTACATGATGCATAGGTTTACTAACCAAGACTCAGCAAGTTGTTATTGTTTTACTTGTCAAACCTTTTTTACATCAAGGTGAATTTTATATTCATCAAAGTTACTGAGTATTATCATTTATTTCCTTACTAACTGTTCTGCATGTTTGATTTTAATTGTTTTTTAATTCGCTTAGTGTGGGGTGGAGTCCAATTGGGTCCACTCAGCACAACGGCCACTGATTGGCCTATTGTAGCCTGCCCCGGGTGATTATGATGATGGAGAATTTGATGAAATGAAGATTGGCAGGGTAAACCAAAGTACTCAGAGAAAACCTGCCTCAGCGCCACTTTGTTCACCACAAATCCCACTTGACCAGTCCCCGGGATCAAACCCGGGCCGCCGCAGTGGAAAGCCAGCGACTAACCGCTTGAGCTATGGCGCGGCCTTTGCATGTTTGATGATATTGAAAGAAAGTGTTGTTCCAAATGTAGATGCAATAATGTGCTTTTATTTTCCTTTTATTTCAGTTATAATAAAGCATTGTGGGTTATAATATCTGGCACAAACACAAATGCATCTGCAGATGTTGTTTCTCATGAGCTGAAACGAGCTCAAAATCAACTTCAGAATGGGTTGAATCATTTCAAAGACCCCAGTAAAGAATCTGAGGCTGAATTCAAGAGCCAGGTGTCTGATTCAGTTTTCAAATTTACTATGAGGCTAAAAAGATTCTTGGTAAGTTGTATGGCATGATTTCGGTTATATGTCACAGAGCTCTTGTCAGTGTTGATGTCATAGAGATCTCTGAAACTTTGGTTTTTAACTCAACATCAACATGGCTGATTGCCTGAGAACATTTTAGCACATATATTCACCATGAAAGCTCCAAATCTGACATAATAAGACCATCAGCAAACATCTGTGTGGGTCTGTGTAAATGTGATATATATATATAAAATAGCAGTTTGGTTGAAATACAGATATGTATGGTGTCTTTATTCCGTACAATGTATTTCCTTCTATAGTGCAACTTGTTATTGTCCCCTTTCCTTCTCAGAACGTGTTTTGGCCTTACACAACCATCATCAGGTGTCTCTAATTTGCTAAAACTGTTGCACTGTATGGCATGCCTAGCTTCTCATATCACGTTTGAATTTGATATCTCTTAACTTAAAATAAATGGGCTTTAATTAAAATCAATAAAAAATACTTAAAATTTAGTTAAAATTTCAATATTTTGCTTGGGATCGTTCTCCATTCATTCAAACGTCATTGTTTCAGGTCTCCTTATTTGGATTTAGTTGCACAGTGGCATGGGCGTTTGTGTGTTATTGTGTAGATTCCGAAGTATGTTGGTGTAGTTATCATTTGGTGATTTCCATATATGGCTGAAACATGTGAGAGGGAAAGGGGACAATGATAAGTTGAATTGTATTTGGAAATATATTGTATGAAATAAATGATTTATTAATGCAGCAGAATTCTTGAATACATTAATACGGTGTCATGATGAAACATAAATTGGAGTTAATGACAAGACGCTGTATGTAATCCCTGAAGAATTATATAGAGGCATTGGCTGTGAGGAATGTACAATGTGCGTAAAACATTCTTCATTAAAAATTAAAATATGGAAGACCATGATCATTTTCTGTGAAGATCAGTCTCAAGTACATCAGTATATCAGGTGAGAATCAAAGCATATTGGCTCAAGCAGTGATGCTTCTGATATTTGTTTGATGGATGCTCAGTTTGAATCTCAGCCAACGCTCACCATCCTGACTGAGGTTTCTGTAGTCTTCCTCAGTCCTTTCAGGCAAGTGCCAAGATTGTACTAAAATTAGGCTATGGCTCCTAACTTCCCAGTTCTTTTCAGTTTATTATTCACTGCCACCCAAACATTTGACCCTGTGCGTAGTTACTGACAGCAATGCTAAATAAACTGCAGATAAATAAATATACAGACAATTAAGGTTGATATTGCTGCAAAACACATATCATGTTCTTCCTTATGGCAGAAGTGTTCTGTCTGCAAGAATGAAGGGGTTACATACTTCCTGCTGAAATTAACTTACAAAAGCACAGTGTATGCATTTAAATTAATTGCTTTGAGAGCATCTGGATGTCGTTGATGTTTAGGCAATAAAACAGAAATTATCCTTTCATTTGTTATCTGTGCATTTTTGCAACAGAAACCATATCATCTTGTATTTATATTTTTCTATCTGCCTTCCAGGGACTTGATATAAATCAGGCATGGGACTTCATGTGTAACTACCTACTGTATGAGTTCCGTGGTGCTGAAGAAGGACTGCAGGAATTTATTGGAAGTGAAACAAGAACAACAGTGTTGTTGTCAGATATATGGTTGTTCTACTGGAGTGAACGCTTGTTCCTTCTCAAGTGTATAAATGTTCTCTTAACGTTTCACAGTGACAAAGGCCATCCTTATCAGGTAGGTTTCCATGTACTATAAGTTCTGTACAGTCTCAGCATAGAAGTGTTGTTACTGCTGAACACATAAGGATTAAACAATACACAACTGTAATTTTACCTTTTTTGTGTGGGTATGGGCATGGACTGCCTCTGTGGTCTAATGGTCAGAGTTCCTGGCTACAGATCAAGAGGTCTGGGGTTCGATTCCTGGCGCTACCAGATTTTCTGAGAAGTAGTGGGTCTGGAATTGGGTCCACTCAGCCTCGTGAGGATAATTGAGGAGCTACTTGAATGGAAAAGTAGTGGCTCCGGTCTAGAAAACTTATATTAACGGCCGTGGGGATCCGTTGCGCTGACCACGTGACACCCTCTGTCTGCTAAAGTTGGAACAATGCTGACATGCGGCGGTCGCTCGGTCGGTATAGTTTGCTTGCGGACTACAGGCCACGGAGTATATGGGTATGTTACTTGTTTTCTCTCTCTGATGGTAGAACATTTGAAAGAAGAGTGCTGAGGAAAATATTTTGACATAAAGAGATGAAGAAATAGAAGGATAAAATAAAATTGCATGATGAAGAGCTTTATACCTTGCACCATTTACAAAATATTATTAGGATAAAAGATGTAAGATTTGAGGTTTCCACAGTGGTGACTATGAAGAATGCCGTCTTCTTGGATGTGGCATCACGTAGATCTTACACAGCATGTCCAGGTTCTGTTAGGACTGTGTTCATTAAAAATATAAGACATGAATTATTTTCAAAATTTCACTCTTTTTATTCAAAATAGTCTCTTTTTGAATCAATACATAGCTGGAATTGATTGAAAAGTTTTCAAAACCAGTCACTTTACTCCTTTTGTGGAATTGCATTTAAAACTGCGGTACATTCCCTTTGGATGTCCTGGATGGTGTTGTGACGGTCTACTTTCATCGACAAACTTAACTTTAGGGAACAACCAGAAATGTACTGGAGCCAAATCTGGCGAATATGGAGGATGATCAAGGACTGTGATCCCTTTTGTGGCAAAAAAATCGCGCACGATCGTCAATTTATGGGGTGGGGCATTGTCGTGGAGGAGCGACCAGGAACCTTGCTCTCGATATTCAGGTCGAATTCGAAGAATTCTCACCCACAAACAATTGAGGACTCCGAGATAATAACCAGAATTTGCTGTTTGACCTTCTGGCAGAAATTCCTTGTGAATGATTCCTTTGGAATCAAAGAAAGCGGTTAGCAGTGTCTTTACTCGACTCTTTTGCATGCGCACTTTCTTTGGTTTTAGCTTCTTTGGGCTCAGCCACACTGCACTCTGCCACTTTGTGAGAGGCTCATATTGAAAACACCATGTTCGTCGCCAGTAACAGTCAATTTTGTAAATTTTGTATCACTTTGGGCAGACCGTAACATGACTTTACAGTGTTCCACTCTGTAATGTTTTTCATTGCTTGACAGTGCATGCGGTACAAACCACTCACAGACCTTCCGTTTGCCCAAATCCTCGGTCAAAATTTGATGCACAGTGCTTTTTGGTATTCTCGAAAGCTCCTTAATGAGTCTTGCAGAAATACATCTGTATGATGCAAGCATTTTGGTCACTTTTTTCACATTTTATTCAGTGCAACTTTCTCTCAGCTTTGATGCACATGGAGCATCTTCAGTGCCCTCCCTGCTATCACAGAATACAGCATACCATCGAAAAATGTTCAAGCAACTCAAACAATCACTACCGTACATACTTTTCATCATTTTGTATGCTTCTCTGGCTGTTTTGCCTAACTTCAAACAAAATTTGATGTTGGCTCTCTTTTCAACCACCATTTTCTGACGAGCGTCAAAACAGTACTGTTACATTCAAGGTCAGAACACATGATGCAGTGATGCTTGAGCTTTAAGATTATAGACAGCCACAGCTGAAACATCAAGAATCTTAATGCCACAACTCGCCAACAGATGGAATTGCAGGGCAAAATTTAAAAAAAAATGAGTCCTAATGGATCCTGGACACACCATGTATGTGAACCGACATTTCAGAGGAACGTATCACCTCCATTTTCAAGATAGAAAAGACCGCAAGTGAGGAACCAGCATGAGCAGGTGGCTGCAGACGTCGGTTCACACAAACACGATCTATGTCGTGCCACAGTCCAGAAGACAGCATTCTTAATAAAATGTAGTTGAATGAGATTAAAAGGACATATTCCAGCTGTTCCAGACAGAAATTGTAGAGAAAAATAAAACACATTTTACAGCCATATGCGTTTTCTGTAAGTGTTAAGGCTTTCAAGGCAAAGGAAAGAAGTAGGTGTTATGCATACATTTCTGAATATCTGTATTCCTTAATCACCATGGTCTGCTGCTTACACCAGGAAATTTGGCAATGAGCATATATATATAATTTATTATTGTAACGTGTTTTGCTACTGAAGACTCCATTCAGATTGTTAATTGGTTTATTTAACAACCTACAGATTGTAACTACAAATACTTATAACACATTTGCGGGTTTATACAATTTATAAACCCCACACACTAATCTGTTCACTCTATCTTCACTAGTCTTCACTTATTCACAGTACAATACGAAGCTATACCAGGGTCACTGTATTTCACACTCCCAGTACCTTCTCAGTTATCACAACAAATCTTCTAACCATGCGTTTGGGTCTTCTTCCCGTGACTACTGCTATATTTCAACTGTCTTCAGCGGCTGCTACATTTTAACTGTCTTTGGTGGCTGCTACATTTTAAGTAACTCTTTAGGCAATGTGGTTCTCTTATAAACCCTCAGCCAGACAACGGGAAAACGCCTCGCTTCCTTGTTGCCTAGTTGCCGTGTTTACAGGTGTTGCTGGGCAATGCTGTCGGGAGTTGTTTACTGCTGCTGCATAGCAACCGCGGCATCCCCCGCTACATCACTGTATTGACTGGCCTGTTACCATAGTAGTGACAGAGCCCGATGTTGTTACGTCACAGCTGGCGGTGGAGGGGATGTCCTCCATAGCGCAGTATGTCACACTGCTCCCTTCTTAAGGCTGTTCGTCCCGAATAACCTAATGGTACATCCCCATTCCTTTTTCTTCCTGTTGCTGTGCTTGCTGTGTCTCCTGTTGTTTCTTCTATTCCTGTTGCAGCAACTATTATCTGGTCATTACATCCGCTCCCCTCTTAAGACCAGCTCATCTCGAGCGGTTTCCTGCTAACTTGTCAGGAGATCCAATTGTATCACATTCATCCATCACTCATTCACTCTGGGGAGGCCGGTGTTTCTGTGTTACCGGTGCCTCCACCATGTGCTATTCCATTTTTTTCCGTTTCGGAGGGGGTCGACCCCTCCACAAGTTCCAATCCTTGTGTCGTTGTAGGCTGACAGAAAATCTGGCTAGTTGCTTGGCAATCTCCAGTTTTGCAGCTTTCACGAAATTCGTGTCAAAATTTCCCTTGCTTTTCACTTGTACCCTCTTCAGGTCTGGTTTCTTCACATATCACTGCTGTCCGCCGCCTAGGTCCTTCGCTTCATTTCTGTGTTGTAGTTGCTGTATCAGGCCTCAGTCCCTTATGCCAATGTTGCATTCCGGCCTTTCCACAGTCTCTTCCCAAACATCCATTTCTTGGTGTTTTTCCATGCGACCTTATTCTTGTTTTGTCCCATATGCTTGTGTCCTGCACAGCGTGTAATCTTTCTTGTGGCTGCGGTTACTTCTTTCCCCGGTCCACAATTTCTTTGGGTCCAAGTTTTCCTGAAGATTTTGGGTCAGTTCCTTTGGCTCTCCACGTCGTCTTGCAGCTTGCTTCTTGCCCCTATGCCTCCTCTTCCATCCTTTGACCGGTTTCACTACGGCATCTTCGTTGGGGACTTCTCGTTGTTGGGCCACCTCAGGTTTCCTGTCCACTGAGGTCGGCTCGGCTCTTTTTCTTCTAGACGTGCCTCCATCTCTTGGCAGGCCATCCTCTCTTTTCTGGTATCCAATGTTTCTTCCTCAGGTTCTACGACCAGTATCACAATGGGGACCTCTTCTTGTTGTGCTGCTGCAGGTTTCGTGTTCACTGAGGCCGGCTTTTCTTCTTCTAGACACACCTTCATCACTTCTCGGCAGGCCATCATCTCTTCCTCTATTTCGGGATTAAATGCGGACACCATTTCCATGCGGCTGGCGCCCATTTTTTCTCGCATGGCGGCCGCCCTTGCTTGGGTTGCTCTCGTCTCCGTGGCAGTCTTTTCTCGCCAGGCAGCCATCTCTTCTTGCCAGCCTTTTCTATCAGTGTCTGCCTGTTCTTGCCAGGCTTTTCTATTGATGTCTAATTTTGCCATGAAATTTTCTTTGTATTTCCTCCTATTGGCCTCCTCCTTTTCTTGGTTGGCTCTTATCTCCTTCAGAAGTTCCAACATCTGTGAGTTCATTTTGTAGCAATATTACTGGTCGATGCACTTGTAAATTCGATTATTCGTCGAGGCGTGTTCAAGTTCGTAAACCAATTCTGACACCAAGTTGTCACGTGTTGGCAGTATAACGCAACATTATTATTATTTGTGCACTGCCACAGATACCCATATCATCTTTAAAGTCTTTGACCTGTTTCATAATTATGCCATTTGTTATTGTTTTTGCTCTTTTCATATACTTCTTTCTCATAGTGTACAATATTGTATTTGTAAAATAATCTTGTTTTTTTTTAATAAATGTCACATTTCAGTGAATTTCCATATATACAAATTTATACTCCAAATTTGTATTTATGGTGCAGTGTAATGGTTAGTACACCAGGTTCGCATTGTTCTGTTGTTGGATCTTGACTGAGCTATATTGTGGTTTTCCAAGTTTCTCAGAACATGTACTTTTCATTTCATTTCATTTATTCACCTTCCATAAATCCTGTTGAGAGTACGTTCTCATGAGGATGTGGAGATCGTCCTAGTTACAGTCACAACTAAGGATTACAGTTGTCATCCAGTAGCATACACATTTGTATAAAATACTGATAAACATATGCAATGTAATAAATAAGTTAATTTTAGTATTAAAAGTAATGGCAAACCTTATACAATTTGTACAGTTTTATACAAGTCTATTAATTAAAAATTCAATAGTTAAAACATAATGCCATTAATGAGTTTTGTATAACATACATTAATTATATAATAAATTGAAATAAAGACTAGTATACAGTAATATAAAGACTGTATATATCTAAAATAAGCATCTAAAAACCAGAACGCAGACTGACAATCTTGTCTTCTTTTAAATTATAAAGCAAGACAACTACTCGCATCTTAAAAAGATTTATGACTAAAATATTCCTGTAAAGAATAAAAAGAATGTAAATATAAAAATTGTTTTAATTGTACCTCAAAACTCTTAATGTCACTCAATATATCCATAATATGTTGTGGTAGGTTATTATAGACCTTTGTTCCTAAACAGTAAACTCCCTTTTCATATTTACTCAAATTTACAAGAGTTCTCAATAAGGTATCTAATTTGTTTTTCTTTTCACTATCAAGAAGGTAATTTATATTAATATTCCCGCAAATAATATATTCCTGTGTTGAGGTATATAGGTTTCTAAGTATTGTGTCTAGTTTTGTTATGAATGTATCAGTGTTTCCAGTTGGAGCTCTATATATTGTAATTATACAAAGTCTGTTGGATCTCAGGTTTAACTTAACAGCACATACCTCAAAATCTTTTTCTTTACAATATTTTTTTAGGTATGTATTTACAAATTTCAAGCTTGTGTGTAGATAGATGCATACTTCTCTTTTTTCATACAAGGTTCTACAATAATTTGCTCCTAGTTTATAAGAATCTATGTTTAACTGTTGTAATTCCAAAAAATTTGTGTAATGTTCTGTAAAACATAAATATGTGTGGGGAGGCTGGGTACAGATGACTTAATAGCTCATTTGCTTTCCTCTTTAACCCTCTAATGTTCTGATGGAAAATATTAAAAAACTTGATATCATTTTCTTTTTTGGTTACTCCGTTTAAGGAAATATTTCTTTTTGGAGCACTTTTATTTACCATAAAAATCTTTCATTTGCGTACTGGTTCATTTTTTTGCTCTATGGTTGTTTTTACTGAGTCATTCATAGCTGGACACTTGTTAGCTTGTAGATTTGCATTATAATTTTCAGATTCCTTCCAGAGCAAGCAAATGGAGGTCAAATTTTTATTAGATTGAAAAATTGTCACGCAGGTTGCTGCTGCTGTTTAAGTATTTCTTCTTTTCTTCTCCTGTTCAGATGCATACCTTGTCTTGCAAAGAAGTGTCTGTTTAAATCACACTTCATTACTGTGACATGTTCATGACATTTCATGATTTTAAACAGTTTCTAATTAAAGGTATTTATCTCATTATTTACTGGTATTATATCTTGTATTATGAGTGGAGTGCTTCCTTTTTCATCTTCCTCCAATCATTCATGAATATGTTTAGGTGACAAATTGTTGAGTAAATGAATAAATCCAAAACAACTGCTGAATATTTATTTGCAGAATCTTTTTGCAAGTATACTGTGCCCAGAAGAGCAACCTTTATTTTGTGACTCGCTGATATCACAGCTGGGTAAACTGGTGAGTCTTGATTATCCAACTCCGGAGTCACATGGCACTCTGATGTCAGATCAATTCCAGAATCTGTGGGTGATGGCTGTGTTACGTGAAGAACTTGAGTTAGTACAGAACTTGCTGCTTTATGTTGATAGCTGTGAACTACAGCTTGAAAGCTTTGTAAAGCTCTTCAAGATCATTTTGGTAAGATGATTACTAGATGTCAGTGTGTTCATTCTTATGCAGCTGCGTAAATGTTATTTGTTTATATGCTTTGAAGTTATTACAGACCATTAGCACATAATTGTGAGGTCCATTTAATTTGTTATGATGCTCAACTGCCATGATTTATTCCAAATACAAATCTCTTAATAACAAATTCATCCCTTCAATGCTGCAGTAGTAAGTGCTGCAATAGCTCTTCGCAACACTGAATTATTTTCAGTGATTGTTTCCCATTTGCTACATGGGAAATTATTTATATACAAGGTGGTTCAAATATGACCGGGACTGATTTAAAAAAAAAATAATTGCCAAACACCTACTTGCACGTGTCAGTCTTCGACGTACTCCCCTCTGGAGTCAACACATTTTTTCCAACGTTCTAGAAGCATCCTGATGCCCCCCCCCAAAAAAAAGACTTGTGGTTGATGGCGTATCCACTCCCGAACAATCTGGATGATGGCATCGTCCACAAACCACATGCCTTGCAAGTCTGATTTTAGCCTTCCGAACAGGTATAAATCACTTGGGGCAAAATTGGGACTGTACGGCGGATGTGTCAGAATGTTCCATTTCAATTTCTGAAGGGTTTCCATTGTTGTTTTGGCCGTATGGGGGCGTGCATTGTTTTGAAGGCAGACTACCTGCTTTCCACCTCTCTTCCGCTTGGATCAGATCTTTTCTTTCACGTCTGTTGCCAGGAGGTCTGAGTAATAAGCTGCATTGACTGTTCTCACATCTGTCAGAAAGTCTACATGGATAACCCCCTGCCAGGCCCAGAAGAACGTTGCCATCACTTTTCCTGCTGAACGGCTCCTCCATGCTCTCTTGGGTTTGGGAGAACTGGTATGCTACCACTCACATGATGACTGCTGGGACTCGGGAATGAAGTAGTGCACCCACGTTTTATCGGTGGTCACCATAGACTTCAAAAATGCATCACCTTCATCTTCAAACTGCTGTAGGAGACAACTGGCAGCTTGCATATGCACCATTTTGTTCACGTTCGTCAAAGTGCGTGGTACCCACCGTGCATTCACCTTGCGATAGTGCAGGTGGTATTTCACGATGTCTTCTACACTACCAACACTGATGGACAGCATTGCTCCAAGTTTCTTGATAGTGATGCGCCTATTCTCACAAATAAGTGTGTCTGCACGATCAGTGTTCGGCTCGGTGATGGATGTTCGCGGCCAATGATCATGCAGTTCATTCTCCACACACTCTTTGCCCTCTCTGAAGCACTTACACCACTCAAACACACGGGTCCGTGAGAGACACTCTTCCCCATACTGTTGTTGGAGTCTGTGGTGAATTTCAGCGGACGGGACGTTTTCACCAACGAGGAATTCGATCACAATGCGTTGTTCCACGCTCCATGGTACCTTCTGTACGCTCATCCCTCTAGCACCTCCCAGACAGCACTGAACAGGTTCTAACCCTAACAGGAGGGAGAGTGGAGGTTGTGGCTACAGTCTCTCAAGGTCGCACAGCTGCTGCGCAGTGCGGCTTGTTTAAAAAAAAATCAGTCCCGGTCATATTTGAACCACCTAGTATTTAGGTTCGTAACATTGCCCCAAAAATGTATGAGAATAGATTTCTTTCAGGGTTCTTAAAAATATGTTTGTGTATAAAAGATATTTCTAGTGTTTCATGAAGGAAAATGTTTGATGTTTTACCAGTTCAGTCTAAAGTGTCTAGTGCTCTGTCCATTTTTTAATCTTAAAATGTATGTTATAGATCTTTAATATCCTGCAGGCTCAGGTCCTCATTGGTCATAGTTCTGTGAACCATGACATTAATTAGAAATTCTGCATCTTTACTTGGTCATGGATCACTGTACTACAGAGTGTATTGACCATTATTCTTTATTTGCTAGCACTTGTATTGACATTATACATGAAATGTTAGTGTAAATCAATTTACACTTCATGTGTAATGTGTCTGCCATGTTATATAGCTGTGTGTGACTGCCCATAGTGGTGAGGCTGAAAAGCTATGCTATAAAATTTATATCATGATTAATGTCGCGTTTTGCATATGTGAAATCTTTGGAAACTGTCACTGGAGGGGTTGACAAATGGTGTTTCTAGTTTATATTTCATGTGCATGGAAGAACTTGTCTTGTACAGTGACAAATATCAAGAAATCTAAATTGTGCTATCTTCTTGGATTTTTTGCCACATATTCTGGTAGAAGTCTTATCAGTGTTTTGGAGGAGCATACTGCTTCCAACTTCAGAATCAAAGAGTAAGCTGATTGAATAGAAAGAGTGTTTCCTGCTGACTTGCTCACTGTTTATTTGTTTGGTTTACTCTTCGATCCTGACAGTGCAGGCTTTGTGTTCCTCTGAAATGTTAGTGAAATCTTAGCAGCTGATAGTAGTCATCTTAGTCACAGTCTCATCAGGAAATCTGTTTCAGCAACATAACTTTGGTCAAGATCATCTGTTTGGGGTGCTGCTCAATGATAGTCATGCAGACATCATTAAGAAAATTCGCAATATGGAGGTCTTACTTGTGTTGCGTGCATTGGCAGTTCTGTAAGTTGTCTCAAGTGGTCATTATGTGTGTTAACTCTTTGGCACAGATCTGTCCTTGAAAATATACCCAGTTCATCAAGAATTTCACTGTCTTTTTAATGTAGCAGTAATCCTCTAGACTTCTATTCAGCCAGAATATATTCCTTTTAATATCTTGTGCAGTACAAGTAAAGCTGTTCTGTACTTATATTCCTCACATATTCTTAACCTTGGCACTAGATGAAGGTGAGTGGTCAGTTCTGTATCCTGCCTGCTTAACCCACAGAGACAGAGTCTCCAGTATCCATTGAATAGGAGGCTGGGTGAGTCCAACAGATGTTCTGGATGTAATGGTGAAGAGACAGATTTCCCGTCTTTGTTCAAAATGGAACCCCAGTCATTGTATTGACTGAGCTATCCTGACCCCTAGGTTCCATGCAATGTAGGTCTCCCATTCTCCTCTACTTTATGTGATCACTTGCTCCTACAGTTCATCTCGGTAGTCTCATTTCCCTGGGAGCTGGGATAGCTCAGTATAGTGATGGACTCACAGGCTGGATGCCTGGGATTCAATTCCCAGCAGGGGCAAGCAGTTTTTCTCTATTCCACAGTGTCCAGACTGGCTCTGGAGCCCTCTCAGTATACTAGCCAGTGGTACCGGGGGCTCTTTCCCTGGGCATAAAGCACCTGGAGCACAAAGCTGACAACTCATCTCCATCTAATGCCAAAGTCAAGGATGGTGGAGCTATACCTTCTCTCCCTCATTCGTCTTTATGACATAGTGCTCAATTAAGCACAGGGACAGCTTTACCTTTTCATCTTTGCTCTCATTTTCCAAGCCCCCAGTCTTCTGAGTGCTGTGGTGTAAAGTGGCAGGAGCATGAACCTGACTACTCATTGCCATAATGCCCTCCATACACCATCATGGCATGGTGGAATATCAATACCATTTATCTTGATTTTATTATTCACTATGTGTGTGTGTGTGTGTGTGTGTGTGTGTTTTTCAGTTTGTTTAGTTCAATAATGGGGCACGCAGTAGCATAGTTGGTTGAGGCACTGTGCTACAAGCCGGAAGGTTGTGGGTTTAAGTCCTGATGAGGTCATTGGATTTTTTCAATTGACCTAATCCTTTCAGCTGCACTATGGCCCTGAGGCCGACTCAACCTCTAGCAGAAATGAGTACCAGGAATATTCTTGGGGGTAAAGGGTGGCCGGTGCATAGGGTTGACAGCCTTGCCACCATCTATGAGCCAAATGTCTAGAAAATGTGGGAACCTCAACATCTCACAACCATATGGACCTCCACGGCCTGTTACAGGGATACCTTTGTTTTTTACTTTTTTTAGTTTATTAATGATTGTTGGTGGAATGCAGTGAGTCATTTGAGTGTAACATGTGGCATTGAAGTTGACACTACATTCAATGGAACAGAATATATAGAATTGACTGTGTACATGTGAAATCTCTGTACTTTTCTCTATTGGTTCTTAGAGGAACAAGTGGCAAAATGTGGGATGAAAGTCAGTATGTGAAACTGGAGGAGGTTATACTGCTCCTGGGGGCCCAACCAGAGCATGGCCCAATCAACATGGCTTGGATGCTTGTCAATTTCTCTGGTCCAAATGGTGAAGAGGTTTTCGATAACTTTCGGCGGTTTGGAGAGCTTGCTCTCAAAGCAGAATGCTTTGTATTCCTAGAACAGATTCTAAGACACAAAATGTTTAAGGTCAGTCTCATATGGTATGATATATTGACTGTCTGATTGATTCTTACATTAACTCTTTTAAGATCAAACTAGAAGTCTTTTCTGACCTCATACATGTAATATTTATAATCAATTTTTAATAAAGTAAGGCACCAGTCATCAGCTCCACAGACAAGTTCTTTAATTTTTGATCTCAGTCTTCCTTCATACTTCCATACATACATATTCCATTTTCTTTGGGTGCATGGTTCAAATCTTAGTTAGGGCGCTGGCTATCCTACTTGAGCTTTTATGGGATTTTTCTCAGTCCCTCTGTGCACATTTCATGACTGCTTCCTTCCACATTCTTTCCATTTCATTATTCAGTGTTATCCATTCATTCAGCATTATATAGTCTGGAGTTAGTTACAGCATTATTATGTAAACTACAAATAAATAAAACATTTATTCATAACCATTATATTTTTATATGCAAACTAACTGTACACGGCATGACATACACCATTCTAGCAGATCTTAAACGTTAAAATAAATATCAGTGCATTTTATTTATTTATTTATCTATTTATTCATGTGTGTCATTTCACTTGATGCATTCATTTAAGTGACACAGCAATTGGGTTACCTTGTTACAGCATCTCGTTCAAAAATGCTTAAAATTTATATTAAATCTTTTACGTACTGTATTAAGTTAGTGAATGGTTACAGATGTGTTTAATGTTGAGTTAAAAAATGCTTACATTTTATTTTTACACTTTTATACACACTGCATTAAGTTCATAGAATTAAGTTAATAAAATGTTATACGAGGGGGGACCCAAAAAAACCGGAAACGACCTGTTGCGCGCGCATGCTTTGTAGTTACGAGTTGTGCTGCTAGGTGGTGTTAGCTGGGGGTCTCCCATGACTGTTAGTGAGCTGGCGTCAGTCTGAGTTAAGTGTTTGTCTGTGGTGCTCTGTTGTGTGCGTTTCTGTTTCAACCCTTTGGCGATTAGTGAGATGGCCGACCAGAAGGAACAAAGAGTGTGCGTGAAATTTTGCTTTCTGTTAGGGAAAACTGCACTTCACTCTTCAAGTCGCGGCAAACATTCAC